CGAATCCTCTGCGTTGTCCATTCGTCGGATTATAATTCGCACTTTATCTTCTGTGTTTTAAAGAAAGGCTTTGGGGGGGGGGTGCACTTTGCAGTTTGTGTAACTTTATTGACACCGGGCACAAGTTTGGGATTGTTGTTTTATTCTCTTCCAGAGCATCCTGTAAGTACAGTATGTACGTACGTTGAACTTATTTCGCACCCCACGTAGCCCCAACTGTGCTAATCGGAGGTGCGGGGAGGGGGGGACAACAAACTAAACACAAAAAGCAGTTCTAAAGAAATTAGTAAAAAGGAGAATCTGGTAAATTTATATTGGAGGAAACTAATGAATGATATAAAGCTGAACAGTAACGTTTCAGAGCGACAGGCGCCTCGATAAGAAAATTATGAACGGGCGTCTCTGCAGCGACGTCCCTTAAATCAATGAGGAATTTCATTACATAAAAAAAGCATTTCCGCCGGAGCACTTACGTCATTATTTTTATGGCGTCGCGTAATAAACAAAAGGTCACGAAGTGACTTGTTCATTCGCGCACATTTTTAAAGATCGGCTCTGATTTATGCGTTGGGCCCCCCCCCCACCACCCCGATCAGTTTGACCGTAAGGCATGTCAATTTAATTTATCTGCAAATTAACACGCGTTCCTAAACAATCACCGAGTTGGTTTCCACCAGCTCCCGCCCGATGGTATGAGCGCAAGTTACTGATGTGTTGAGCCAATGGGCTACAAAACCTGCTGACTTTCACTTGCGTGGTGGACTCATTTCACAGGTGATTTAACATTTGAGCTCCGCAAAGCCTGCAGAGCTGTAAGCAGCTGCGTGAGTCATGTGCAATTTTAATTGGTCTGCTATGCGGATTTTGTTTTGTTTTATTGTCTCCCGTAATGTATGGGTTTTGTAGATCGGGAGTCATGCCGAATTAACTGGCCCACGGGTGACCTCTTTGTTTTTGTAGCTCCTACTGGGAACTGGTGATAGGGCCTCTGCGCCACTCAATGTATACGCGTGTGCCTAAGATATATAAGTGACGCACGCGCGTGAGCAGTGGTGTAGTGAGTGGGGAGCGGAAATGCAACGGTTCTCTGGTAGCACTACGAAGCTGGCGAGCCAAGTTCGATTCCTGCAAACCCCCCCTCCCCTTCCTCCCCTCTCCCCCACACACCGTGTCAGCCATAGTTCACCATTCGAAGCCACACTGGTCAGGACAGGTCGTTACAGGAGCGGTACCAGAACGTAAATTGGGTGTAATTTGTGACAAATGTTAGCCATGGCCAGGTATCATACTCGGCTCACCCAAATTCAAAGTTGCAGTGCATTAACCAACTCATGTATGTATGTAATTTATGCAACTTAGAGCTATCGACTTGGTCAATGCCATTGTGTGAGATTGATCGATTGTACGGCTAGCCACTAGGGATGACAATTGGTGCATCTTTACCCATAAATGATCACGCTAGAATGTTTTGGTGTGTTTGCCTGAGAGAATCGTGTGCGATGCACAGGCGTTTGTTTTTGCATGTGTGTGTATGCGTGTCTGAATGGGCACACACACAAAGTGGGAGTGTAGCGCGCTGCACTACAAATTCGGCAACCCAAGTTTGATTCCCGCTTATGGCCAACATTGATGATGAATGTCTGAACAATCCTGGGCCTTCCCTTGGTTGATTTGGCCCCAAATGAGTACCTGTTGCGGTGTGTAAATACGCCATTTGGGAGACAAAGGCGGCCGGGCGTAGTGCTGGCCACCCACTCCCCCCATGTGGCGTTCTGGCCGTCATAGGTGCTCGCTAACAGCACTTGCCGCAACAGTCTTTTCAGTTTAAACAGGGAATCTTTGTCTTTGCGAATGGGCGAGAGACAGCTGCTCATGCGTGAAGTGTCTGTGTGCTCACGCGTGAAGAGGCATGCTCGTGTTTCTCGTGTTTGACACACGCAGCCCTGGATGTTGTGGAATGAGAGCACAAGGTGTTTGGTGCATGGCCTGCTGTTCTAAAAACCCAGTGACCTGGGATCAATTCCAGTCCATGCATGATACAGTTGAAATCTGAGCCTGGACCTCGAGGTTGACTCTGCTTAAAGTGGGTGCAGTGCCACCCAGGGTGACGCAATGGTTTAACTCACGCACCTCGCAGCGTAAAGGCCCTGGGTTCAATGCTAGAGACAGGTGCCTTTCTTTGTGGAGTTTGTGAGTTCTCCTCCTGTTCTGCATGGGGTTCCTCAGGGTTCTCCAGTTTCCTCTCATGGATAAACCAAAACATGCAATGCAACTGGTAGTGATGAAACATCCCAATCCTGAAACGTATCCTTAAAATTACTCAATTGGCATGACAGCAACATCACTGCCCCCATTGCAAACACTTGGCAGGATCCTCCTGAAAAGGAGTCTTAAGACTCAGCGAGGCTTCCCTGGGTAAACACGGCGAACGAGCACCAAGTGAAGCAAAGCTGCGGTGGTGCTGGTGGTTCTACCCTACCCATAACCCCCTGTTTTTTTGTTGGTCTTAATAGGTGCCCTCTCACAAATCTTGCCTCAACGGTACATTATGCAACGTGGAGAGTATTTTTATTTGATATAAAAAGACGGAACATTCTAGATGATTACAACACTTTTTTGCAGAGTTCCCCCCCCCCCCCCCGTACCCTTGCACTCCGCTTAAGAACTGAGTTTGACTCCTGGCTACGGCTGACATAGGTAGGGAGTGAAATCTGAACCAGTCCATTCCTACCCCTGGCCCCCATTGGACCGTTGAGTCAGCCACTGTAACCTGCGTTCCATCAATGGAGGAGGAATAGCAACACGACACGAACAGTCTCCTGAAGTCCCCTCGAGGCTGGCAGACCTCGACATTGGCATTCAGCTCATTAACATATTGCCATCCTACAAGAATAGAAGTGATGCACCGATGGATGTGTCCGTGCACATGGCAGTAAGGCCAGTGGGAGTTTAATGGTAAACATTGGTCTAATTAACAGTGCATGCGAAATTCCTGCATTGTGAATTACAGATTAGTGAATGCCGAGAATCGCTCCTGCCATGTGCTATAGCAGCGATAATTACCGCAGTAAAAAGATACATAAAATGTAAAAATAAATCTCGTTACGCTTGCAAATGTTCAAACTTTGCAACATAAAGTTTCCCCCAATAGTATTCATGTGTGAACTTCGTTTTGCTCGGGAAATTGTTTCTTGTTCATTTACTCACCTCCCCCCTCCCTCCCACCCCCCTCCCTCCCCTCCCTCCCTCCCTCTGTTCCAATGCTGGAATGCTTCATTTTTTTACATCGCAGGCCACAGCCCGTAGCACATGAGCCAGTCAAAATCTCACATGGCCTGGCTTCGGGCAAACGGCTTGGCATCATCTCCCGTTTAATAATTGAGGACGCTTATCTCTCGAGCTCGTGGGTCTTGGGAGCCCATAACCTATACCATTTCATCAAATATTCATGCACGGAAGTGAGTAAAACACATACTCCGAAGCAGGGGGGTCCGAATTGAGTGCAGTCTGATGTGTTTCAAAATGGGTTGGGGCAGCCTAAGCTAATAATTGTGTCCGTGTGTTTGTGTCACAAACGTTTGGTGTTTTGAAGTAGTTTTTTTCTCTCTCTCTCTCTCTATGGGACCTTTTTTCCAGAATTAAAATGATGGAAATATGAATAGGCTTTACCCTTTATTGCAATAATTAATGCTTCTATATTTGCATTGCCTTTGTACTGTTCGCCCCTTGGCGTTCTCTGGTCTGACGCTGGTGAGACTAGGCCATAGAGAGGGCTGTTTCTGGTGTAGGCCAATCAGTTTCATAGACAATGCCATCTATTATCAGAGCGTGCTTGTTTGCCTGCATTCACCACAAGTACCGTATGTGGTTAATGTAGACTTGATGCCTTGCTGTAGGTGTCTGTTTGGTGTTTGAACATCTTAACACCTGTGTTATTGCCATAAAGGATACAGCCTATTACTCTTTGGTTCTTTCGGTAAGTTACGTAGGTAGATATAAAACAAAATAAATCACGACGTTTCGATAGCAACACAAGCCATCGACGTGATTTATTTTGTTTTATTTCTACCTACGTAACTTACCGAAATAACCAAAGAGTGGATTCCTGCAGTCACGAAAGCTTCAAATCAAGATTGATGAAGCCTATTCTTATTTTCATAGTTTTTTTCTTTATCCTTTTTATCCGTGCGTTGCCCGCTATAACCAAAGGTGACAAAAAGCGATCGAGTAGCATTACTTTAATTTATCGAAACGACAAAAAATTACAATAATTATGATGATTATTGTTATCCTTGCAAGTGAGAGCCAACACAAATAGTTGCTCGCGGCAATCGCGTTGGCCGGTGAGATGATTCCCAAGCAACCTGAAATGTCCGTGGCGTGTCGTGGCCTCGAGGCAGTGATTTGAGCCACCACCATGGCAGGTCGATCAGCAGAGGTGACGCGATTGCGACGTTGAAACGCCATTCTTTAGCTGTTGTTCATTTCGCGCCGCTCGGCTTTGTAAAAAAAAATCCTTCCCATCGACTCGTTTTACCCCGAGTTCTCGAGACCTTGCTCAATCCTACACAATGAATTGTTACCTCAAACGCAAAGCACCTCGGTACTTGCAGGTGAGAGGTTGGCTTCAAAATAAGGTTCTCAATGCCATAAATAAATAAAAGGTTGCACAGTTGAATCCCTGCAGCCTTATGTGACATTTGACCGACTGCTGAAAGCTTCCTGTGCATCCATGGAAATTGTGAACTTCATTTTGAAGTTAATCTTTCATCTGTAGCATTGAGGTGATTTGTCTTCAATACATCTTGTATTGGTTGGCTTGTGCAAATCAATACAAGATGTCAATGATCGTGCTGTTTGTTCATGGCAGCTTGGGATTTGAGCCTTTGGGCCTGTGTTCAGCAACCGTGATGTAAAAAAGAAATACAACAAATACTGCCACGTGCATCACATCTTATGGAAGTGCTTGGCGTCCCGTACGTGCCCGCGTATCACGGCAGGCCACGGAGAGCGACCCTGGCGACATGGACCTCACGGGGCTGCCCGAGGGTCTGGTGGACTCGGAGGACGACGAGGAGGAAGACGAGGATGAGATCGAACGCTCCGGCGAGGCTCTGCCGAGCCACGACTTTGTGCGCGACTGCCTCGAGAAGGAGCCCAACGACCGCACGGACGATGATATCGGTAAACTTTTTAAATCATGGAATTACTTTGTAAATTAAAATTTATTTGATATCTCACCCACTCCAAAATGGGGTTGACCAGGCCTCATTTTTATGTATATGAGACAAGGCTTTGCCTGTGAAATTACAGTGTTCCTTCCACCAACCAATAATTGATCTTAAAAAAAAAATGAGTGTTGTATAAATGAAATAAAATATTAATGTAAGTGTGGAAGCATGCTCGAATCACGATATCATCATGTCCCAATTTCAGGTGAATATCATTCGTGTTATGTCCTGCATAACGAAAAAAACACACGCATCTCATATGGACAATTGAGACTGATAACACATTCTAATGCTCTTTTTGAACGATTAGAAAGATGAAATTCATCACGTATATATTAAAGTCTATGCTGATAAGTGGAACAATCTAAAAATATTGGCCCCACAAAAATATAACCCATAGGGTTTATTGGTTTTACCCATTGAACAGGGTCCCCTTGAATTCCTTCACTGCTTAAAGTCTAAAACTTACACACTCAACATAAATGATCGCTACCATCAATGAACTAAGTGAACCACAACACCTTGCTGATCTCGTCAAGGAGCATAAACCACCAAGCGAACTCCGGTCATCGTCACGGTAACCTTTTGGCTGGCCATCGAACAAAGTCGGTCACCGCATCGCGCTGCGCATTCAGATGCGCTTCTGCGGCCGTCTGAAATGCTCTTCCTTCCGATATTAGGAAGCCACTGGACCGATGCACTTTTAAATCTAGATTGAAAACTAATTTATTTAGAACTGCTCTTTGTGATTAGTTTGTTCTTCTTCTTGGTTCTTTCAGTAAAGTCACGTAGAATGGAAACAATAAAATAATAAAAATAAAACATAATAAAATAATTCTCACGACGTTTCGGCCACAACGCAAGCAGACGTCCTCAGGTGAAGAACAGGTCTGTCGAGAAGACAGAGTCTGAATGACAACCCCAGGCTTGGAGCGTCTTTCCCATCACGGTTGGCTATGTATGGTACAAAAGAAGTTCTACCTACATACATACTCGCAGGGGCACCCAGATGCATGTAGCAAGCGCACACACTATCTCTCTATCCGGTGCTCGCGCAAAGAAGGCACGCTGGCTCTGAGGCTTGCTGACGTGCCGGGGCTCTGTGTCTGCCGCTTGGTGACCCACAGAGCAGATGCTGGAGTTCATGCACCAGCTGCCCGCCTTCGCCAACATGACCATGTCGGTGCGACGCGAGCTCTGCGCTGTCATGGAGTTTGCGGTGGTGGAGCACGCCGGCACCGTCGTGTTGAACCACGGCGAGGAGGTAGCTACCGTCGCTGTTGTCATCGTCGTTGTTGTTGTCATTGGCGTCATTGTCATCATCATTGTCATCGTCATCGTCGTTGTCGTAGTCGTTATTATTGATATCATTGACATCATCCTTGTCGTCATCGTCATTGTCAACATCGTCATCACCATTGTCGTCATTGTGGTCATCGTCATCATCGTCATCGTCGTAGTCGTTATTATTGTTATCATTGGCATCGTCGTCATTGTGATAATCTTCATTATCATTGTCATCGTCGTCATTGTGATCGTCGTCATTGTGATCGTCGTCATTGTGATCGTCATCATTATCGGCATCAAAATCATTTTTTCTGAATTTTCTGAAGCAAACTGTGGCTTCATCCCTAGCCATAGTTGGCATGTAATTTTAATATGCATTTTGTTGATGCTTTGCAATTTCACTTTTCCTTTCACATTTCTGATTTCGCGTTTCGATGTCCATTTTCTGCACTGATATTTGTTTTATTCAACGCATTTTTTTTTTCATCGCAGTTTTCCCGAGCGAAAGAGATATTTACTCATCGCAATGATTTATAACCCGCTTATAAATGCGCTTCAGTGTGTTTTTTGCTGGACATATGCAGGGTACAATTTTGTTTTTTTGCGAAATAAACCCTATTAGCTGTCATATTTAGACAGGGAGATGAGGATGAATTTATAATGTGCTTGGTTCAAAGAGCGAACCCGCAGGATTACTCTCGCTTGGGTCCCGTCACTCTGTATTCGTGCGTTTGCTCATGTCGTTATTTACGCATTCTGATCGCCGTTGCAACGATGTCCTGTCACCTTGCCCGCTTGTTTCGCTAGCTGGACTCGTGGTCGGTGATCCTGAACGGCTCGGTGGAGATCACCAACTTTGACGGGCGTACGGAGACGCTGTACATGGGCAACAGCTTTGGAGTGTCTCCTACTGAGCATACAGAAGTCATGGTCGGGGTCATGAAAACAAAGACCGATGACTGCCAGGTACCTGAAGACTTTAAGAATGGGGCCTGACAGAAGGAATGGGTGCCACAGCAAGGGGGATGAATGTTCAGTTAAAGGGAATCTTTTTTTAATCGCATTCTATTGAGATTTTAACAATTTTGAATTAAAATGTTGACATGTTAACTAAACAAATATGTGGAAAAGATAAAACAAAAAATCCAGAATAATTTGGAGAAAATTCCGAAAAAACTTTCCAAACATGACCCCAACTAATTTCGATATTTTTCACGGAGCCAGAAATTGTGTAGTCACATTGAAGGAGGTGTTTGAGGGGAAGGCAAATGTGATTCCTCAATGGCAAGGATGAAAGCCTTCAATATCAATGGTGTGCCCAAGTGCTTAGCACTTCAAAGAGATCGTGTGGAGAAAAGATGACTCACTGATTCAATGTCAGGACTTGTCCCGTCTAAGCACAACACATCGCACGTACAAACACAACAACATCGTCATCAGCTGCCATTGCCACCCAGTTGGGTGATATCACCATGACAACTCTACCGTGATAGGTGCATTTTAAGGTCACGTGGAGTGGTGGTGGCTGGCTGGCAAGAAGGCATGGAGGTGGTCCAGGTGTCGTAGATCAACAGACATATGTGGGACCAGGAAATAATAAAGCACTGTGCAAACTTGCTTTATTTTATCCACCGGTTGCCAAGCTTGTTGTTGTGAGCATTGCACCACCACTTTCTCTAATAACAGCAACAGCTGTCGCCATTCTCTACTAAGTGGCGGTGACGTCACCACATCACTTATGCCACAGGCTAAGGCACACTTTGAGACTGTGACATGTGAAAGGCTCGCCAGAAGGTCATCACAGGACAGACCCAGGTGTTGTGGGTGAACTGACTGCGACGACTGGCAGATGCACCACCAGTGTTCGCCACTGCGCCGACTTGACAAAATTGATATGAGACAAGGACTTATCAGACTTTTGGGGGCAAGTGTTGTTAGCCATCACCTATGAGGGCGGCACGGCACATGAGGGGGTGGGTGGCCAGCACCACATCCGACTGCCTTTGTCTCCCTAGCGGCGATGTTTACACACCGCACCAGCTACTCACTTGAGGCTGAGGCGATCTCAGGGAGGCCCATGACCAGATCATCTTCTAATAAAACAATAATAGGGTTTTTCCCCTTTTTTTCTGGCAACAAAACTGAAACCTTTTTACAAGGATTCATGTCTGCATTAACCACAATACTTGCAGTCAAAATGCAAACAAAAAAACACACTCTGATAATATATGCATTGTCCTTGAAACTGATTGGTCCACACCAAGGGACGGCTTTCAAGGACAATGCATATATTATCATAGTTGTTTTTTGTTTGCATTTTGACTGCAAGTATTGTGGTTAATGCAGACATGAATCCTTCTAAAAAGGTTTAAGTTTTGTTGCCAAAAAAAATTGGAAAAACCCTATTATTATATTTTGGTACTGGCAAAAGGAGGTCTAATGATACAGATAATCTTCATTGGTATTGGTGGCCGTGAGCGGGAATCAAACTCGGGTCACCGGGTTCGTAGCGCAGCACGCTAACCGCTGCGCCACCGCTCCCCCACTGATATGAACACACAACTACGGCACTTCTCCCAGCAGTCCATGAGATTAAACCCTTACCTGTGTGTGTGTGTCAGTTTGTGTGCATAGCACAGCAGGACTACTGCCGCATCCTGAACCAGGTGGAGAGGAACATGCAGAAGGTGGAGGAGGAGGGAGAGATCGTCATGGTGAAGGAGCACCGAGAGCTCGACCGCACTGGCACTCGCAAGGGGCACATCGTCATCAAGGTACGTGCTCTCGCTCAGACACGCTTGGCATGTTGGCAGGGCCCCTCCTGGGCGCCGCGGTGGCGAGATGTTAACTACCTCGCCTGGTACGCAGGAGGTCGTAGGTTCGATCCCGACCCTGATGCCCGTCTGTTCTTCCCGTGGTCACGTGGGTTTTTCTACCGGGTCCTTCGGTTTTTTCCCCCCCCACATTTATAAACACGCGTTTAGGTTATTTCACCGCTATAAATTTCCACGTGATAAGCCAATTCGTTGAGCTTTCATTCGTGGCCAGGTCGCTTCGGAAAAATAGCTGTACAGCTCAGTGGGCCTTACCTGGTGAAATAGAAATAGTCATTGTCGATTAGAAGAGTCATGAGACTCGGCACGGCATTTCTGGGTAAAACATGCTCGTGCCAAGGCGAAGATCCCCCGTGTGTAGCACGTGCGCATGCTGTTGGGGCGAGCGCCGTTGTTAACGAGCGCGCTTGTTGAAGCCAAATGTGGCGTGCAAGGGGATGACGTGGCCGGCACACCACACCGAGCCACGTCCATCTCCCCAGCGCCGATGTTTTCACGCGCGCACGCGCGCGCGCCCGGTTTCAACCGGCGCTCGTCACGTCCGCACCTTGGCTTCTGCGCAGGGTACGATGGAGCGGCTGCTCACCCACTTGGTGGAGGAGCACTCTGTGGTCGACCCCACGTACGTGGAGGACTTCCTCCTCACCTATCGCACCTTCCTGCCCGGCGCCAAGCACGTGGGCGAAAAGCTGCTCGAGTGGTTCGGCGACACGAGCCTCCGGGACAAGGTGCGTTGCCGACACGGAAGGACTGCCCGTAACTGTTTCCCCCCGAACTAAATCTCGCTCGCCCATCGAGGGCCCCCCGCCCCCCCCCGGTCTCTCGGCCTCACTTCGCCGGCTTCCCGTCCGACCGCTGCGAGATCCTTCATCCTCGCGGTTAAATCGCATCCACGGCCTTCCACCTCTATGACCTCCTGTGCCCCCATGTTCCTGCCCGCTCCCTCCGCTCCACGTGCCGTGGCCTCCTCCTTGCTCCCAAGATTCCCGCTGCTCCACAATTGGTGGCCACTCCGTGTAGCCACCACGCCTCCCCCACCCTCTGGAACTCCCTCTCGGGGCAGCAATGCCTGGTCTGTCTCTCTCTCTCTACTTTCTACATTATTTTTGAGTGTGCTTTCAGACCCCCATAGTTTCTTCATTTGTCTCCTCCTACAGCCACGCTCGCTGCCTTCCATTCTCTTCCTTTTCTCCCCTTGGTAATTCTGCGCTGGGAGACGTTCGGTGCGTTATGGGTGTGTTGCAATGTGGGTTGTTGTTGTTGTTGTTGTCGTAATAATTTATCATGACCGAGAGCGTCACTGATCCTACCCGTGATTGGCTGCTGGTTCTCGCCACGATCCCCCCCACACCCCCCTCCCCACCCCAGTAAAGCCCTGATTGGTTCAATCTTAATTTTTGGAGCTTTCGTGACTGCAGGAATTATTCTTTGGTTTTTTCGGTAAAGTCACGTATAAAGATAAAATAATAAATTAAATAATAGCATACGACGTTTCGATTGCAACACAAGCAATCATCATCAGGTATAATGAAATAGCGACATAGAATCTAACCAGAAAACTATAGACAGACATGTAAGCAGACAGATATCACCAAGATACATATTGATTGGTTGTTTGTGGCCGTGTGCCCAGGTGACCAGAGTGGTTCTCCTGTGGGTGAACAATCACTTCAACGACTTCGAAGGGGACCCGGAGATGACTCAGTTCCTGGAGAAGTTCAAGGATGGCCTGGAGAGAGAGGTGGGTGCTTGTGAACTTGATCTGCAGACCTTGTTGCTGTTGTTGATCCGGGGCATTTTCTGTGATGATTCATGGAGCATTAATTTGCATACGTATAATAGTATGTACATATATATAATAAAATGGACCATTTGGTAAACCGCTGCAGTCAGCGCTCCTTCAACCGGGGACGAATAGAAAAACTCTACGAACGCTCTCCTTGAAGCCCTCTTGTCATGGCTAGCAGGCCTTGACATTGGCATTTAGCTCATTAACGTATTGCCGTGTGCAAGAATATAATAATTTATATATATAATCGTATGCTTCTGACCGAATCGCTGGGAATGCACCAGGATCTCATCAGATCATTGCAAAAATCCTAGCAGGGTTGGAGCTGGAATGCGCTTGAATGGGCTACCACCGTGCATAGGCTGCAGCGTGGCTTTATTGTCAGCATACGAGCCGTGCATTGGAGTTCATCATTGTGATGCACAATGCTCAAGTCTATGTGCTCTGCGTTTGCCCAAACTAGATTCACCTCCTATCTAGAGAGGGATACGTATCAATGCCGGAGGCAATTGGGTGTTGTTTGAAACCTAAATGGGATCCATGATTCAAGATGATTGCCTGCTCAGATGAGACTTGGGCAGTTGCTCATCATCTCCTGCTTGATTCCCCGAAGCCAGTGGTGGAAATTCCACGTTCCTATTGTGGGGGCGAGTTAATCACGACCGAACAACCTCAGCTCAGCCTGCAATAAGCAGTCTCGGTTGAGTGTGCAGACACATCTCTGCCAATACTTCATTAGTTAAGCTGTATTTATTTGAAATGCGATTCAAATGTGATTCAAAACAACTGTAAGTGCCACAGCGACATGCGATATTGCACCATTACAATCGGACTAAGCTCTTCCAGGTGAACACTGTGCTTGTCACCGAGTGATCGACAGTCTGGCTTGTTGTATGCACTTTCAACACATCGACCCGCGTGCAATCGGCAAACACGTTCACAACCGGCTCGGCGGTAGCCTTGGCACAAAGGAGCAGATCTTCCGTATAGCCTCATCAGGCGGTCGGGGCAAGTGCTGTTAGCGAGCGACTATGAAGGCCGGCACGGCACACCAGGAGGTGGGTGGCCAGCACCACGCCCGGCTATCTGTATCACGGCAATGGCGATGTTTACACATTGCACCAGGTGCTCGTTTGAGGCTGAGTCAACCTCTGGGAGGCCCAGTACCGGTTGAAATATTCACCACTGTTATTGGTCGTGAGCGGGAATAGAACGCTGGTCGCCGGGTTCGTAGTGCAGCGCGCTAACCACTGCACTCCCTCTCCCCTAGCCTTGGCACGCAGGAGGGTGAACGGCTCGCTGAGAAATCTTGCCTTTTTTCACTTTTCCGCCAACGTAAATCTGCGAGCCTCTCTCGCTTGTCTGCGAGCGCGCGCGTGCTTAAACAGCCGAGTGCTTTGACCTTGCTCCCCGTGTGTCCAAGGGTTCCGAGTTATCTTTCATCCGCGCGTTTTTGTATCGACTCTTTGAGCAAAGTGTTTGTCTTGCGGTGCCATTCCATCGCTTTGACACTTACAATGAATAGGTGCGTGCAGACGATGCCAGCATTGTTGTTGATATTTGTTGTTGGAATTATTCTTTAATAGATATCGTAAAAAAAAAATGTCAACTTGTAACAGCCGGGCTGCATGGTATTCACTCGCCCTCGAAGAGAGGGAACAACTCAGAGGTGCGAGGAGGAACCACAAACAATGAGCCGGCGCCAACTATTGCCTAAGCTCTTCAGCCCTCTTATATGTTAAGGCGTTATCGGCCAGTTATTGAATGTTTAAATGTGGGAGCACAAACGGTGCACCTGGAGAAAAAATCCACACATGCGAGGGGGGAATACTCTATCCCATGGACTTGGAACAGCTGGAATCCACATTTTTTTGCTGTGCCGCATTTGCCTTGCGAGCCCCAGGGTATTGCTCCTGGACGCCCACGGGAAGGGAGTTTCACGACATTTGTGCGAACCACCAACCCCCGCTACCTCCACGGTGCCGGATTACAAGCCACGTGCATAACCACCACTGCCCGGCTCACCGCTCGCTTCGTATAAATTTAGCTGCACAATCGTACGCTTAGTCTCTACACAGCAACCGGTCCGGTGACCGTGTCACGCGTGCGGAGTCGCACCCGAGTCAAAGTGAGACCGCGAATCATTCACCGTTGCGCTCCCCCCCCCCCCCCCCCACCTCGCGTCTCTCCTCCCGCTGCAGAAGATGCAGGGCCACCTGCGCCTGTTGAACATCGCCTGCGCCGCCAAGGCCAAGAGACGCTCGCTGACGCTGACCCGGCCCGGCCGCGACGAGCCTCTGCCCTTCGCGCTGACGGGCGGCAGCGAGCGGGGGTTCGGCGTGTTCGTGGAGAGCGTGCAGGCCGGCAGCCGGGCTGACGAGGCCGGGCTTGGACGCGGGGACCAGGTGAGCCGAGCGGCCCGCGGTCGACGCATCGCTCGCGCAGTGCTTCATGGCTGGGATGGCCGGTCGCAGGCCGGTGCTGCGTCATACCGTGTGCCGCACAGGGGCAGCTGCCGCCAGGGGTCCCCTGCCTCAGGGGGACCTCGAGAGGAGGCGCGGTGTCAATGTTAACCGACGACGATGACGATGAGTGTGTGGGCTCACCTGCGTTACGGGGAGCTAAGTTGATATTATTTTCTGAGCTGTTTAAGAAATACATGGAATGAATGTAGTTGCTGGAAAGCTAAGTGACCAGATCAAGCAAGTAGAGGTCATAGAGATAACAAGATCGAATCAAAGCGTTTACAGTAGTCTTCATCGAAGCCTATCCGTCATTATTTTTTATCATACGTGGGATGCTGTAATGCCGCTGGTACATAAAAAGGGTTTGTTTACCTTACGAAGCAGAAAAAGAATATTATACGAGTTGGATGATCATCTGTGGGTTACGTCCTTTGAAAACTGTCTGTGCGAAAAAAAGAGTCCGAGGGGAAAAAAAATACCAAAAACAACGACGACAAAAAACAACATTTAAACAACAACAAAACAACAACAAAAAACAACAACAAAACAACAACGTCCACCTCTAGTCGGTGTGAGCCACGCGACGCTGCTGCTGTGCCGCACCGCCGCCGCCGTCCTTTGTTGTCGTCACCAAATTTTTTCGCGTTTTATTTGTTTGTTCGGGCAGATCCTGGAAGTGAACGGGCAGAACTTTGAGAACATCCAGCTGTCGAAGGCGCTGGAAATCCTGCAGCACAACACCCACCTGTCCATCTCCGTCAAAACCAACCTCATGGGTGAGAAGCCGTTGCGGTCGCCCCTCGAGTTGCAAACCCGGTCATCGAGCGTCCTCCCCCTCCCCGCCCCACACGTTGTGCTTTTGTTTTAAGGTGCGCTACATTCTAAATGGCCTCGCCTCTCACGGATACGGTTTGCCCCGAGCTGTTTTAACGCGTTCACTTGCTCTTTTTTTCTTATGCCAATTCCAGACTGAGCCAAAATCAATTTAACCGTTGATTTTCTCGCAAGTGTCTGCAGCTTCCACTTGTAGCATATGTCAAGTACGCTTAAATTACACGTTCAGGCTTTTAAGTTTGTGCGCCACGCGGTGATAGCTTCTGGAGTAGCGCGACTGACACTTTAGGGGGTGGAGGGGACAGCAGTTGCAGGGCTGCACATTTACCCTTTCTTTTTCTTTACCATTCATCGCGCCCACTACTACGAACCAGCACGCTCACCTCCGTTGTCCTCTGCTTGGCGGTCCCTCACCCCCCCCCCTGCCCCCCAGTGTTCAAGGAGCTACAGAACTGGACGGGCGACGAGCCCGGCTCCTTGAATTTCGCCGGCCGTTGCGGCGCTGCCACCGCCGCCCCCTCCTCCTCCTCCTCGGGCGCCGCAGCCGCTGCAGCCGCGCTGTCGTACGAGTCTCACCGGCCCAGGATCGTGGACGGCGGTAACGCGGTGCGTCTCTCGGTGCCCGATCTGGCCATACCGCACGAGCTCAGCATCCCCGTCGAGAAGTTCAAGGGCAAGGGCAAGGCGAGCACGGTGAGCGGCCGATCGCGGCTGAGGAAGTTCGTCAACAAGACCTTCAGCATCCTGCCCACCAAGCCGTACGGGTGAGAGGAGCTTTGCCGTTGGCGTGCGCTTGGCTTCGTTTTGTGCGCGCGCGTTGTGCCGTTGAAGCGTTATTTCGCGACGGGGGGGAACGCGCTGACGGTGGCTCGGTGCGACAGCGAGCGGCTCGCGGTCGGAACGTCATCACCTTCGGGGGTCGATAAAATGAGTACTATTTTTGCATACCCCAGTTTGGTCATGTACAGCAGCTTGATAAATAGTAACATACGTTTGGGAAAGCCTGCATCCGGCAGTGGCTAGACCATAGCTTCCGTTGTTGATAATGACGTTGAATACATTTTTGGCGCTGGCTCCCCGCGTGGCTGGCTTCCCCATTCATCCGCGGTTCCTCGCGCCTCCGAGGCGTTCGCTCTTCGAGAGCGAGTGATTGCCGCGTTCGTTGCACGTGGAAATTATTATCGAACGGCGGTCATCTAAAGTTTTTTTTTTTGTTTGTGCCGCCGCTGGTGCTGCGTTTCGAATTTAAAGCAGCGGCAGCACCGAGGTGAAGATCGGCCAGTCGCAGGACGACAGCATTGTGGGCCTCAAGCCGCCCGTGTGCGGCACGTCCACGTGGATGCTGCGCGGCTCCCTCTCCTCCAGCAACCCCGACCTCCTGCAGTGCCACCGGCTCATGGACTTCACCGCGCCTCCCGGTGAGCCGCCGCCGCCCGCGACAGTCCTCGGTCTCCCCCCGGCACGGCCACACGCTGCGGCCGCCGACTCTCTCGTATTGCCAGGGTCGCGGTCTGAGGCTTCGTGCGGGACATGAGGCTGAGTTTGCCACGTGGTGCAGCGACGTTTCCCCGTCACGCAGCAGCCTCGCCGAGGGGAGATGAGCTCTGCCCCGCGGTCGTTGGAGTGGGCAGACTCCGTTGGCTTTTTAACCGTTGTCTAGCACCCTCTGTAAAACTTAATGTAAGTAGATAATTCAGACGGACACTAATTTGCGTATTTACCGAAAAAACCTAAGAATATGAATCCTTGCAGTCACAAAAGCTTCAAATCTAGAACTAATTTGCGTGCTTAATTACAACGGGGGCAGCGTTTTGTACGACGACACACGGGATGACCGATTCCTCAATTTTCGCTCCGTATCCGACTCGTCAGCTCGCCCGCTCACTCGCTCGCCCGCCCGCCCGCCCGCTCGCTAACTCGCCCAATCGCTTGCCCCGCAGACGTCCACGACCAGGTGCTGCGCATTTTCAAGGCGGACCAGTCGAGCCGCTACATCGTGATCGGGCGCGAGACAACCGCGCGCGAGGTCGTCACGCTGGCGCTGCAGGAGTTCACGCTGACGGGGCCTCCCGACTCCTTCTCTCTGTGCGAGGTGTCGGCCGCGCCCGACGGAGTCACGCGCCAGCGCCGGCTGCCCGACCAGCTCTCCCGGCTAGCCGAGCGCATCCAGCTGAGCGCCAGGTGCCCGCCTCCTCCTTGCGCGCTACCTCTCCCGGGCCGACCCGTTACGTGAACGTTGCGATTGGCTATCTTAGGGCCGGCAGGATTTGTTCTGGTCCCTCCTTTGGAAATACTTGGACCTCTTTGTCCACTGTACGACCGTGCCGCGCCGGGGCCATGTCGAGCCATTCCTGGCACGGCTCAAGAAGCGCGGGTTGTTTTTCCACTGCAGAGAGGTTTTCCCTCTCCAATATGAAAAAAATATTCTGATTCTATCTTCCCACCCCCCCGTTCACCACCCTCCCCAAATCGCCCCCCCCCCCCACCCACCTCTGCCCCCACCCGCGGCGGCGCAGGTACTACCTGAAGAACAACATGGAGACGGAGACGCTGTGCTCGGACGAGAACGCGCAGGAGCTGCTGCGCGAGGGCCAAGTGTCCCTGCTGCAGCTGAGCACGGTGGAGGTGGCGGCGCAGGTGTCGATGGGCGACTTCGAGCTGTTCCGCACCATCGAGCCCACCGAGTACGTGGACGACCTCTTCAAGCTGCGCTCGCGCACGGGCACGCGCGCCCTCAAGCTCTTCGAGGGCGCCCTCAACCAGGAGACGTTCTGGGTGGCGTCCGAGGTGCTCGCCGAGCCGGGCCAGATCAAGCGCGTCAAGGTGCTCAAGCACTTCATCAAGATCGCGCTGCACTGCCGCGAGTGCAAGAACTTCAACTCCATGTTCGCCATCATCAGGTGTGTGCGCGCTGGGATTTTTATGATTATTATATATGTGTGTTTTTGTTCCCCAGACATGTTCGCTGACCCCGGAGGGGTTCTGGGTCAGCGACACACATAAAAAATGTTCGCCTCACCGGGCGCACACCACCGCAGCCAGTAAATCTCTCGGGAACGGCCGTGGCCACGGGTCGCATGCATCTCAATTTTCCCTCCACACCATTTAGAAACACGCGTTTAGAGTATTTGGCTGCTATACATTTCCACAATGATAAGCCATTTCATTGAGCTATCCGTTTGCGGCCGGGTCGCTTCTGATAAAGAGCTCTACAGCTCAGCGGCACCCTTACCTGATGAAAAAAAAAAAACGAAGTTTAACATTCCACGTGTTTGTGTGGGATCGACCGACGCGCTCGGCTCGGCCCCTCACAGTGGCCTCAGCCACAGCTCGGTGGCCCGACTCAACGGGACGTGGGAGAAGCTTCCGACCAAGTACGAGAGCCTCTACCGCGAGCTGCAGGACCTGTTCGACCCGTCGCGAAACATGGCCAAGTACCGCAACGTGCTGAGCAGCCAGAGTCTGCAGCCACCCCTCATCCCGCTCTTCCCCGTTGTCAAGAAGGACCTCACCTTCCTGCACGAAGGTACCCGCCCGCTCGACCCAGCTCCGCGCGTCGACGCGAGTCCCAGCGCTGGGAGACGGTGCAGAGGCCAACGCTGCATTTTCACCATCGCCAGGAACCAGGCTCGGTTCACACCGGCACCTGCGACGAGCGCGGTTGGCTACGTACGGTGCCGAGAAATTCAACGTGCGCGCGTACATATACCGCCTTGCACCAAGCAGGGTGACTCGCGGTCGTGCACTAGCCGGGGCGAGACAACGGAGGTCTCCCTGGTAGATCCCACCGCGACCGAGCACGTCACAGGTGCGGCTCGAGGAGCGGCAGGCGCCGTGCGCGACGGGGCCACCGTTCACTCGTCGTGCAGATGCCACATTCTGAAGTCTCGGTCTGAGTCCGAGAGAGACACGAAAATAAACAAAAACCAAGGCAGGTTTTTTCCCCCCTCGAAGCATTCAAGGGTACCGATGGCAAAATGTTTTTGGTTGCCGACGAGGCAAACAAGGCCACCACATCGGGTACCCATTGTCGGCCGAGTGAACAACCTCGTTGAACACCAGGCTCCAACCATGCACGCTGTATCGCTACCTCGCTGTCGCGCCGTCTAACACGAGGAGGTGCATGTGTCTATTTTTATATTTGAGATTTTATTTTTATTCCCTTCAGGCAACGACTCGCGGGTGGACGGGATGGTGAACTTTGAGAAGCTGCGAATGATCGCCAAGGAGGTCCGCCAGGTGGTGAGAATGGCCTCCGTTGGAATGGACGCTGCGGCCATGTTCCGACACAGGTGAGGCGACGGGAGCGTTCACCGCTCTCATGAACAATAATGTTTGAACTTTGCCGCTAAATTGTTTGTGTGTCTGTTGAGGCTATACGGGGAGTCTTTGTTGTGTGTGTGTGCGTGCGCACGTGTGTGTACAAGTGGGTAGCGGTAGTGTAGTGGTTAGCACGTGCTGCGCTACGAACCCCGGTTGACCCAAGTTCCACACCCGCTTATGGCCAACACCAGTGACGATTATTTGAACCGTTCCTGGGCCTCCCCTAGGTCGACTCAGCCTCACATGAATACCTGGTGTGGTGTGTAACCATGGCCACCAGAGAGACAAAGGCGGTTGGGAGTGGTGCTGGCCACCCACCCCCTCATCTGCCCTCCCGGCCTTCATAAGCACTTGCCCCAACAGCGTGCTAAGGCTATACGGGGGATCTTTGTTCTTGTGTACAATCGGTGAAGTAAAACCCAACGCAGCTAATGTGCGATTCGTTCAGAAGCATTGCTCTGCTCGTTAGTCGTGCATTTCTGTTGTGGACTCTCTCTATTCATGTCCCTTGTTCATGAACAAGGACTGATTGTGGTAGAAGCTTTGTGCCCATGCTGCATTGCTGTGGGCTACTGTGGAGACCTTGTGCATTCAATGAATATTATCTGCAAACATTTTTTCAGACTTTTGTATATATCGGCAAGGCCATTTGTGCAAGCGTTATGCCCTCCCATGGCGTGTGCCTTAATCCCACACACACACACACACGTAAAACGCAGACATGTTCGTCACTTAATTGAAATGTGCAAGAGTAAATTAACTACAAGGAAGCCACTTGATGGTCCTGGAAGTTTCCCTCTCTCTCCACCTTCGCTATCTCTGTTGAGTCGCTTTAGTTTGGCTGAATCTTGGTTGAACTTTTGTCAAATATTTCAATTTCTCGGCAATAAACACAAAGAGAAGTAAGAGGGTGGGGACTAGGGAACTGAGTAACCGGGGGGGATGGGAAATAAACAACAATGGTTCAGCAATGCAACAAACCACCCCGCACCTGGACACGAGCTGATTTTCGTCATTCCATCTCCACGCTGGATGCCCTCCCTTTTGGGCACGCTCTAATATTTACAGTAACCGATCCATTTTTATTTATACACCAACGAGGTCCCTGATGTATTCGGATCGCCGCCTGCTGAGTACTCCGGGTCAAGGTTCAATCCCTGGGGCGATTGGGCTTTTGCCAGTGCAGCTCCAAAACTTTGGAACGCTTTTGCTCTTTGGTCACAAGACAATCAGCATCGTCAGCTGTATTTAAAATGACCTTTAACTCCATAGTTCTAGCCACCTACCCTGCAGGTTCTGTTCATTTAAGTCCTGGCTTTCCATACACGGTGGCATTGGGATCTTGCGGTTGAAATGCGCCACTTTACAAAAGTAAATAATTCTTATTTCCTTGGGTGCAAAGTCAGTCTCTATTCTTGACCATTGTGCCATCATTCCTGCCGGCAATGTGTCCTGCCTCTGACAATTGTTAAGTAATTGCCCCTGATAAAAACCACGTCTTTCCAGTGCCTTGTTGCTATATCTCCCTTCACCATGTAAATATATATCGCTGTGCTTGCACAATTTGCTGCTGCTGTCGTGGCCAATTAATTTAATTTAATTGGTGCCGGGTCTGTTTGTTTTTTGGATCAAAGACAATGTCCACTGCTTCACCGATTGATAACCCAATCCCTAGTTACCACTGCCAGTCATGGCCCCCTAGAGCCAGGCTGTGTCTCCATTGTGTTTGCCATGCATTTGTGTCATCGTGTTTGTGTCTTTTTGTGGTTGAGATGCCCCCAGTGTCTGGACTGCTCGGATAAATCATCATTTGTCACAACAATGTGGTTATGACAGTGAACCGTGGCACTCTTGAAATACTACTACAATAGCAGGTTTAAGTCTAAATAATAATAATAATACTATTACAAATCAGAACATTATTTTCTTCTCTGACAATTGTTATCCAATTTGATTTACCCAACAAAATAAACACTCGAATACTCTACAACGATGTGACATTCTAGAGTTATAATTGCGTGCAGTGAGCTGTGTGGCACTGTGGTAAGGCCACACGGCTCATGGTGAGCGGGTTAACGCAACCACTATCGTTCCAGCAGGGTTGACGATACAAGTTCCACTTTGGGAGACTTCAACGGGGGTTGTTCTCTGGATTATCTGACCCCTGCCAGCACTGTCTCAGGGCCCTAAACAGAGCAGGAAGCACCCTCACATCCTTGTACATTTGAATAAATAACTTCGGTCGTATTCATCCAACGGTAGCAGCTGTTTGCTGAATACGCAGAGAGGTGATTCTTAACGTGCACTGAAGATGCACGTGCATTTTGCACCGTGATTTTGTCTGACGCAGTCTCTGTGCTGGGGTCTTCACGTGTCGTTCTTTCACTGTCACTTTCCCGTTTGTCTTCGCCCTCTGGCCCTGCCTCCGTCCTTCCCTCTTTTTACCTTCGCCGCATAAAAAACAATACTTTTTCTGCTCCGTTTCCCAACACCTTACCTGCCCCAATTACTGTGCCTGCCCATCAATCAACCATCACCCCTCTCCCTCCCGTATAACACACAGGCGTAAAAGGTGGCGCAGCCTTGGGTAAGTCGGTGTCCTTTGTGCCAGCACACGTAGCGGAGCCCTGTTCACAAAGCGCCCTGTCTGTTGACATCGAGTCTTAACTCGCGATCCGTGTCGCCATCGATCCAGCGGGGAGAATTCGCCACATGCGCGCACGATAGGTTGAATCGGGGCGCATCATTGGTTAAATTCCATGGCGACGATTGCCGTGCGTACGGACATCATTCTCACATGCAGTGCTGTGCTGCCTATGACTGTGTGGACCAGAGGTCCATTTGAAGGGATCTTCAGAGATAGCTCTTCGATATCCACTTCTGTGGGACATTCTCAAACGTGAAGAGTTGCAATGCTCTGTGAGCGATGCCATGGTTACTTTGCCTCAGTGACATGTGACATGATACCGAGAGCATGATCGAGGATAAAATTTGTGGGATGCCACCTGAATAATAAATAAATCTTAATCTAGGACGCTCAGTGATGGGAGCATTTCAAATGGAGAGTACCCATCTTGGCATAGATTCCTTGATTTTGTTATGCCCAGAGTTATTACCTTTGAGCCTTCTCTAGCTCCAGGGTGTCCCCTCCTCCAGGCCTTGCATTGACAGGCAGGATGGCTTTGTGGCACAAGGCTCCTTACCAGTCTCACTCGCACCAATGTAGGCATGCCTGCGATTTCACCTTATTCCAAGCACCGCCCATCTTCTGTCTTGGAAAAGAAAACTCCACCCTTCCCCACTCCTTGTCTGTCGGCAATAAAGGATGGCCTTCACACATATACACACTCGTATACATAAATTCACTCTGGCTTTGACCTAATGGGCACAGATTTGCTTTGACCTGGTTGTAATGGGTTTGCTGATTTTCAAAATTGGAACGTTGTCCTGGCGTGTAATTATTCTGCAAATGCATCTGCTGGCATGCATAGGTGTGGTTGAAATGCTTTGAGGTCATATATCAGCCCACGATATTGGCAAATGTTATCTCAATCCAGCGTCCGACTTGCCAAATCACGGCGAGCGCTAGGCAATGGGATATTATCACTATCCCATGGATTTTTATTAAAGTGTTTTACGGCGTCCAGCCCATTACAACGACGTCCAATTTTTACCGCACTGCTAAATTCGAATCGCGCAACATGAGTTCGTCGGCTGCGATGCTGCGAATCCTTCTTCAAGTTAAAGGCCGAGCGTGCAGAAAGATTCGAGCGTTGGCAATGTTGAAAATGTATTGACCTGACGTGGAAGCACTTGCAGCATCACCGATGCGGCATTTAGGGCCACAGCCGTTTCAATCGCTGCTTGGGCATTCACATCAGTGTGGCTGTGCGCTGCGGGCAGGAGGCAAAGCACACCCCCTGTAGAATACGAATGAGCGCTGTTCCATCGGCGAGGCTTGTACGTGCCTGCGTTGAACTTCTTTCGCACCGTACGTAGCCAACCGTGCTAATCGGAGGTGCCGGGGAAGGACAACAAACTAAACAAAAAAGCAATTCTAAAGACATTTATTTCAATCGAGATTTTAAAAGTGCACGGGCTCCCAGTGGCTTCCTAATATCAGTAGGGGAAGCTTGCTCGGACGTCGAACACCGCTGGAACAACATTCCTCCTCCTCCTACTCCAGGTCCATAAGCCAAGGGAGCTCCAACTCGGCCGTGTTCGACGCCATCCAGGCGTCGGGCCACCGCAAGCGCGCACGCCGCAGCTCGCTCGTCAACCCGCGCAAGCTGTACGAGGAGGCGCAGATGGGCCGCAGGGTGAAGCAGTACTTGGCGCAGGTGAACAGAGACGTGGACGAGGACAGCCTCATGACGCGCTCCGTGGCGCTGGAGCCGGCCAGCGCGCCCCGTGAGTACTCGGCGGACGCGCGTTTGCGTTGCCTTGCGGCTTTCGCTCCGTCTCGCTCTCCGGCCGTGCGTCTGTCCGTGTGTCGGTTTGCGCGAGTGTCTGTGTGCCTGTCTGCGAGTGTTTGCGTGTGTGTGTATGCATGTTTGTGGCTCGCTGCATGTGTATATGTTTGTCTGTCTGTCTCTATCTTCTTCGTCTCGCTCTCCGGCCGTGCGTCTGTCCATGTGTCTGTTTGTGCAACTCTCTGTGTAGGCCTCGGTCAATCCACTGCTGGATGAGGGGCCTTCCCCATGCTTGCTCGCCAGCTCACGCAATCCCGAGTCGCAACGATCCAACCTCCGTCGGCTTTGGGCGCGAGCCGATCCGCGGGACCTCCGTCGCAGAATTCCTCGCCCCTAACATCAGAGCCCGTGCGTGCACCTCAACCGCTTCCTCTCTCTCTCTCTCTCTGCCCTCCCCCGCCGCGTCCCAGCAGCGGCGCCGCGCATCCCCGGCGAGCGCAAGACGGCCAAGTCGGCTGAGAGCTCCCCCGTGGTGACGCGGGCCCCCATCCTCAGGCAGGGGGCCTCCAGATGGCCTCATGGGACACCGGGCTCCACAGCGGTGGGGGCTGCCACCCAGGCCGCCCCCATGTCCCTGCAGCCGCCCCGTAAGCGCTTCCCCGCTAACGCTTTGCTTCCTCTTGGTAAGTGGCGCTTGCTGGTTTGGTTTTGTCTTTCTCATGCGGTCGCTCTGGCTGTTGTTGGATTGCTGTGTGTGTCGGCTGCCTCCTGTTCGTACATATTGTGCTGTCGCTTGGCTGATGTTGGATTGCCGTGCGTGTGTCTTGGCTGTCTTTGGTTGTATCATGCGGACGTCCTACTGCAATTAGAATTCTGCATGTGTTTGCTGCATCACTCTGTTGTCGGAATACTTTGTTTGCGTTCTCGTCCGTGACTTTTGTGCTTGTGTTGTCTTGTCGGTGCTTACTTTCTTTACTTGGCTTGCAGTGCGCTTTCATATTGCTTGCACGATGGTGACGTATCACACGCAAACGTTGCATTCATATAATTATTGTTATGCTCACTGGTACAACATTCACAAGGTTATGAGTATTCATTGTATCAAAGTATTGAATCGCGTCAATTGTATCCATGTATGCAAGTCGGAGTGACACCGTGTCCCTGCTTGATTGAGCAATGTAGTATTGATGACTGTCGGTAGCCCTGGGTGACTAACTCCACATTCCTATGGCAGGAACCAGTCTCCATAACATTATTAAAAAGGTTTCCATGGAATATAACTGTGCTCAATCTGAGCCATGAACGCTTTGGTCTTGCATTGACTTTGTGCTGTTCGCCTTTTGGCGTTGTTCTCCAGTCTAACACTGGTGGTGAGACTAGGCCATGAAGAAAGGCCGTCTCTGGTGTAGGCCAATCAGTTTCAAAGACAATGCGTTTCTTATCAGAGCAGAGTTTCTTTGCATGTTTTACCGCAAGTACGCGTGGTTAATACGAACTTGATTCCTTGCATGAGGTGTCTATTTGGTGTTTGCCAGAATTGTTAAAGCCTTTTCTTTTTTCATCATCTTTATTATCAGCAAGAAGGGTCCCATAGATATCAATAACTCTAGATATTAACAATAATAAGCAAAGTCATCCGCACGCGCTTATTTAACAGCATTTTTATTCACGTAGGAATTGAAAATGTGAAAGCTGTTCGCCAAGGTAATTGTGCATTTTATTTAACACTATGGTGGTCTTGGTATTCCAATCGTTGCAAAGTGGAACTTTCTTTTATTAGGGTATTTGATTGAGGTGACCAGTGGTGACCAATTGCTAATGCAATTATGGGATTTCCATTATAGGAGCCATTGATTTCCGTGATCATTGATCGCTCTGACCTTTTGCTTTGTCTCAAATGTCAAAGAAAACGCTGCTTGACTAATCGCACCCCGATTGCTCCTACGCTGTTTTGATTATTTCAAACCTAAACAAACAAATTACATATTCAATCAAGCACTGCGGACGTACAGAGCACACCATCGCTCAAGTCGATTTCATGCTTTTAATGCTCGTATCCCAACCGGGCCTTACAAGGGTTGAGGGCTCGCGCTCTTGACCTGGGCGATTCTGCCATTGCTGTGAAGGTTGGCGCACCTTGACCTGCCTATCCAGAGGTCGCCGGTTTGAGTCTATCTCTCGGCGCACCAGTTGGAGCAATGGTGCACGTTTAATTTTCATAAATCACCTCCCCCCCGCACCCCAAACCTTGTCACCGCAGGAATAAATTCGTACCCAACGATTAGTCCAGTGGCAGGTCGCGTGTGTGGTGGGGTAAAGTGTGGGCACTCCCATCTCTTCCGAGACGTCTGGCCAGCCAGAGAGAGAGAGAGGAGAGCGGAGGGGCTCCCTCGGGCTCCCTCTGGTGGAGGCTCTTCCGCCAGCAGTGGCATTAGAAAGCAATAGCAGGGCTGCACCTTTACCTTTTAAACTAAACTATAAACCGTTTTTATTTTACCAGGTAAGGCCCACTGAGCTACATAGCTCTTTTTCAGAAGCGACCTGGCCACAAATGATAGCTCAACCATGTGGCTTATTACATGGAAATGTATGGCTGCCAATTACTCTAAACGACCCGGAGAAAAAACCACGAGTCCACAGGAGAGATTCTTTCAAACTCCAAATATACAGGCATCATCTGGGTCGGGATCGAACCCACGACTTCCTGTATACCAGGCGAGGAAGTTAACATCTCGCCACCGTGGGTGCCCGTTTTACCTGTTAAAGCTGCCTAAGGAAATCGAATGACCGTGCATCAGAACCTGGCATCGTCATCTTGCGGGGAATTTTCAACACCGGAAACAGGCAGCGGGGTTACGACAGGAAGTGAATTATTGTGAACAAGCCTGGACGGTGTTTGTCACCCCTCCTCCACAGGAGCCACTTCACCGAACTCGTACCGCAAGCTTCTTGCCCTCTCGGAGAGCCACGCGGACAAGAAGAGCAGATCAGGTGACGAGTCGGTCCCGACACCCCCCGCGTCTCCTAGGACTTCTCCACGACGAGGTGAGGTCCTGACCCTTGCATTCCCGTACCGTTGGCGGAAATGTTAGCGATCTAGATTTTTTTGCCCACTTCAGCAATTGTTTCTTGCTGTGGTTGTCCCACCTGATGATGGGCGCTTGTGTTGCGTCCGAAACGTCGTGATTTAATTCATTTTATTTTTCGTTTAGCTGTAAAGTGAGCCAGCCGTCTTGAAAGTGTGGTTTACCGGGTTGGCCCACCACAGTTCTTCTCTCGAGCTTTCGCCACGCACTACTGCGCGCATCCCAAAAAGACGGCAGCCGAAAATAAAAACACCCGGTACTCGCTAGGATGGGATCGTGGGTGGCGATTGACGTGGCAATAAACAAACACTAAACTCAACGTTTTTTTTATTTTGCCAGGTAATGGCTGCTGAGCTATGTAACTCTTTTTCAGAAGCAACCTGGCCGCAAATGCCTGGTCAACGAAGTGGTTTATGGCATGGATTTTTCTCCGCGTCCTCCGGTTTTTCCCTCCACGTTTAGAAAACACTGCGTGTAGATTATTTGAATGCTATGAATTTCCACATGATAAGCCACTTAGTTGAGCTATCATTTGTGGCCAGGTTGCTTCTGAAAAATTGCTATGTAGCTCAGTGGGCCTTACCTGGTAAAATACTAAAATAGTTTCGTTTATAGTAAAAAAAAAGAGCACTAAAATAGAAACATTTTCAAAACTGTTGCTTTTCCGTCATGCGATACTGAAAGAAGAGCTACTGCGAGCTTCTTCAGGAGTTGAACGCGTGGTATGACAGCTCGCTTCGAAGCAACTGCGGAGACGTACTTGTTAAATCATCGTGCAGCTATGTTTGAAAAAAACACACAACACGAGCGCGTTGCTGTTCCCGCAGGCTCTCAGATGAAGCGCAAAAACTCTCAGCGATCTAATTCGGGAGGGTCAACTGCGTCCTCGGCCGTGGAAAACTGCCAACAAGAACAACAACACTCCCAGGACATACGGCATTGGTACGTTCAGGTTTTCAGCTACTGCAGCAAAAAAAAAAGTACGAACAAAAGTCCGCCCACGTTTAAGTGAATACGTCACGTTGATGTCGCGCCTTTTGGTGGCAAATTAACCTTCATTAACGTGCAACGTGCTCGTTGACACTATGTTCAACTGATCAAGCAAAGCGCGCTTAGCGCCTGTCACACACTCGAAGCCCCGATGGTGCAAACGTAATTAAATCACTTCCTGTGCTCTGTGGATTCTTACATTGCAGGATCAGGGTTTTGTTGTTGTTGTTAAATCGCGTAAATATATAAATGTGTCGTAATACCCGCCACCACCTGGCACAACCAATTTGGAAGGTTTGTCACGGAAACAGAACATGCCAATTCATCACTAGTACAGCACACCGGTGTGTTGGAGAGCCAAACCACAACATTTACAATCTGAGTACGACGTTTCGCCAGTAATTACAACCAGCTTCATCAGGCCAGATTTGTGGAGAAGTCCACTTGTTTCGTTCCCTAGATAGAGGCGTAGATGTATTCTTCATTGGAACAACTTGTTTTGATAATAATCATCAATGTATTATTGTGACGATGATTTGTGACCGGCAGGGTTCACGCTGGCGTCTCTCACGGACGTGCGCGCCACGTGCGAGTCTGGGTCGGATGAGCGGGAGGCAGTGGAAGGCCCAGCGAGCGGAGGGCAGCACGAGACCTCCCCCCACGGCCCTGGGGATGAGGTCGGCACCGAACGACCCCCCCCTGGCCTCCCCCCCACAAGGTGAGGAGGAGGAGGAGGAGACCGGCGTATTTGTTTGACAACTTGTGGTGTAAATTTCGATTTAAAGCTTTCGTGACTGCAGGGATTCATCTTCTTGGTTCTTTCGGTAAAGTCACGTAGAAGGGAAATAATAAAATGATAACCTCACCTGAGGGACGGCTGCTTGCGTTGTAGCCGAAACGTCGTGAGAATTATCTTATTATGTTTTATTTTTATTATTTTATTATTTCCCTTCTCCGTGACTTTACCGAAAGAACCAAGAAGATGAACTTGCGGTGTGTTGTTGGGTTTTATTATTATTAATGTATTTGGATATTTGGAGTTTGCGTGTTCTCTCTCGCCGTTGTCGCATGGTTTTTCCCTCCACATTTAGAATCAACATGCAATTTAGATTATTTGGCTGTGATAAATGTACACGTGATAAGCCACTTGGCTGAGCTGTCATTCGTGGCCATGTCGCTTCTGAACAAGAAGCTCATAGCTCAGTGGGCCTTACCTGGTAAAATAACAATATCGACGTATCACAACACGTAGATTTTTCTCACGCGCCTGTAAAAAAAACACCTCGGGGCCCGCGTCTTTCCTTCCCGTGCCAATCGCTGAAAACCTTCTTCGTGTCCACGCGGGATTCCCGCCCCCCCTCCCCCGACAGCGACGACCCCGGAGCTCAGGACTCCGACCCGGGCTCCAAAGCGGACGCAGCCGCCGCCGCCGTGGACGACGACGCCGAGGGGGGCGGGCGGTCCCTGCTGCTGCCCCCGTACAGCCGCAACTCGCTCGAGACGTCGGACAGCGGACGGGACAGCTGGACGTCGTGCTCCAGCGGCTCGCATGACAACTTCCAGGCGAGTGTGTGTGTGCGCGCGCCATGACTCCGGTGTTCCCGAGTTCGATTCCCGCTCACGGTCAACACCGGTAGGCGGTTATCTGAACCGGTCCTGGGCCTAGCCGAGGTCGACTTGGCCTCGAATTAGTACCTGGTGCGATGTGTAAACATCGCCACTGGGGAGACAAAGGCGGTCGGGTGTGCTGCTGGCCACCCACCCCCTCGTGTGCCGTGCCGGCCTTCGTAGGTGCTCGTGAACAGCACTTGCCCGAACAGTCTGTTAAGGCTACAGGGGGCATCTTTGTCTTTGCTGAACAAAAATAAGAATAGGCTTTACCCTTTCTGGCAATAAAATAGATGTTAAGATGTTAATTTTGATAATCGCAAAAAGGTCCCATGTTGTAGCTGCTCACCCCGAGCTATCAATGCCCTGATAGTGGCATTGTCCTTGTCCTGTTCGCCTTTTGGCGTTCTCTGGTCTGACACTGGTGAGACTGGGTACTAAAGAAGGCTGTCTCTGGTGTAGGCCAATCAGTTAAAACAACAATGCACGTGTAACAAACAAAAACATTTTTCCTGGGTAGTAAGTCTTATTTCCTAATTGCTTATGCCTCAAAAGTACAGAAGATGGCTATTATTCCCCACAAACTTTGCTTTTGTGCAACAAACTAACACACAGAAAGCAGCTCTAAAGAAACAAGTTGTCGGTGTAGATTTAAAAATGCTATAGCTCCAGTGGCTTCCTAATGTCGGAAAGGAAGAGCGTTCCTGACGGCCGCAGAAGTGCATCTCCGTGAGCAAATGCAAAACCCCGTGACGCGCGATGTGGAACACGTGGCGCACGACACGTGACGCGCGACGCACAACGCACGAGACAAACTTTCCCCCTCCCGCCCCCCGCCACCGGGATCTCTCGCGCGCGATGCAGGCGCTGACGAGCAGCCGCTCTTACTGGAGCGGCTCGGGCGGGCTGAGCACGGGCGACCTGGCCGCCGAGCTGGAGCAGTGCTGGGTCCTGCTGGGCGCCGGCCGCCTGGCGACGAACGCGAGCAAGCGCGCCGCCGCCGTCGGAGACGGCCCCGTCGTCGTCGACGACGACGGCGGCGTCGTCGTCCGTGGCGCGGTCCGCAGCTCCCCGTCGGTCCTTTCGTCGCTGTCGCCGTCCCGCGAGAGCTGGGCGTCGTCGACGGGCTCGCTGTCTCCGGAGGAGAACGAGGGCGACACGGGCACGATAAAGCGGCGCAACGGCAAGGACTGCCTCCCCGACGCGGCGGGGCGGCGGGACGAGAAGCCGGCGCCGCCAGTGGGCGGCGCCGCGCTTGTTGCAGACGCGGCTCGCGCCGGAGGAGACGGGAGGGAGGATTCGGCGGAGAAGACGCGGGATGCCGAGGTGGTGGTGGCCGCTGCGGAGCCGGCCGGAGAAGGAGGTTTAGTAGGTAAGGTGTCATCGTTGGTTGTTGTTGTTGTCGTTGATGTGGATGTGTCGTACTGTAGATAGAGTGCTTGATATACGGTCAGAATGTGGAAGAGTAAAATACTGCCGGTTTTCTTGGTCTATCATCTCCCAGGGTGGATGAAAGGCAGCGCCATTTCGAATCGGTCGTGGTCATCCCATGACAACACCGAACCTTTTGTAGGATTGTGGATTGTCAGCGCTATTTTAAATCCAGGTCTCTCTGACGAAAAAGGCTCGTCTCATTGTCTCCTCCATATGCTCTAGGTCCACTGATTCTCTTGATTTTCACGTAAGCTTTGTTTCCAACGCAAGTTGAACTCTCAATCGCGTTCATATCGGAACCTTGTTTTGGCTTTGTCATGGAGCAGAGCAACATCACATAATGGCGGGTAATTGTTTCAGAAGATGGTTCCACAGAATAAGTAGTCACATCGGTATCTTTATCCAGTGCAGGATATCACCACTTAAGCTCTGTAAACAGCCGTTCCCCGAATGTCATAAAATATATATATTTTTATTGTGCATGGTTACGGTTATTGGTGACTGGGCTGAGATCATCTACAGGCAACACTTGAGCCCAGATTAAAACCCAGGAATCTGAGCAGTGCTGGCTAATTGCTCTGATATGGGCATTGTAGCTCACTGCGATGATCTCGGTCTCATTCATTGTAAGAGGCCCGAAGGCTCCGTTTTATTAAAAGTAATCGTTTTGCTTTGAATATTACCCTGGCTACAATTGCATTGGACATTAATAATACAAATGCCTTGGCCTCACGCCCGACTGAATATGTAATTACTCTGGTAATAGGTAAACAATTATTTGGCAACCCATTCTAATTTACCATCAGACACAAAAAGCCATTAATTACATTGAATGCACTCATGCATGCAATGAACAGCTCCCAGCATTAAACAGAGTGGTGAACAAGAGATCTACCACACACCCACATTGTCATGTGTTGAATTAATTAACTCAATGTTGGCATTCAAAATCCATCTATAAATAAAGCATGTGACCCATGTAACAACAGTTGCCCTGAAAGGTGCATGCATAATCCATCAATTGTTTAAACAGCTAATCAGTAATTTAGATTTTTAAAAATTCTAGATATTTGTGAATAACGCTGTGGCCGTGAAAGGAAAAATATATAATAGTCGACGTTTCAGGCAATAGCTCTTCTTTATAGCACATACATCCAAAGATGTGCTATGAAGAAAAATAATACCTCAAACGTTGCCTCGTGTATTTTTCCTTTTTAAGGCCATAGTGTTACAGACGGATGTGTTGTTGAGGTTTATTTTATTTTTTATTATTATTAATGCCACTCATGCACCACTGCCAATGCAGCAGCAGCAGCAGCATCACTAATTTAATTAATTTATATGTCCGCGGTTTGCATTTTCTTGTTTTCTCGGCTTGCACATATTTCGTGTGCCGATATCGTTCGTTTTTTTTTTACCGCGCCATCTCACGTTTTTTTGTTTTTTTTTGTAAAATCGCATTAATTTATTTTGTTTGTTTTGTTTCTCCCATTCTCGCCCACCTCGCGCTTCGGTGTCTCCGCAACGCCCCAGTGTACTGCGTCACGCGAAAAACCGTGCCCTCCAGCGCGGGGAGTGGCGCAGGAGATCCCCTGCATGCCCTGGCCCCCCCGGAAGAGAGCTCCGCTCATTCCGGCTCGTGCCCCGCGCACCTCCACCCCCCGCTGCATGCGACCGCCTGCGATAGTGGCCCCGAAGTGCAGCAGCAGCAGCGGCCGTGTTCCGCCACGCCGGCGATCCGCCCGACGTGGAATGTGCCCCATGTGCTCGGCAGTCAGGCAGTGCATGGACAGGGCTTGCTCAGTTCACCGGTTAAGCAGCAGCAGCAGCAGTATGAGGACGGTAAGCAAGATCGGAGTCAGAATCGGCGTCGTTGTCATCGTCGGTGTACGGGCGTGCGAGTTTTGTGAGCAACAATCGGGATGCACCGCGTAGGTTTTCGCGGTCTTTTCCTGTCGCAGCTCTTTGGTTTTCGTGGCGGGGCACCGCGTGTTTGTTCGGCACGACGTCCGACGTTTTCCCGGCGACGTGTGCTGCACCCTGGATCGACAAAAATAAATGCGTTTTTAAGCCCGTTTCTTACCCTAAATAAAAATGAATATCAATTACATGCAAGGTTAGGCGAAATCAAAATAAGCTGTGCACTGTACCGAGCGAATGCTTGGTTTTTTACAGATGCATGTGCAAGCTGTAGACATTTGTCAAAGCATGTGACTGCACGGTAAAAGCAAATTTAAACGAACAGCTTCATTGAAATTTACATCGCATTGACTTCCTCCTGTTTTTGACGTTTTCCTTCTTCTTCCTTTATTCCAGAGAAAGACCAAGTATCGACCGTGTAGGCGAGAGACGTTTGCGGGTGGGGGAGCATTTGGAGGACAGTGGCACACGCGTGCACGCACGTGAATAAGCGAATACCCCCTCTCTCTCGAAACTATGACCCCACGGAACACAACGTTGGGCCTGCAATTGTGTTTACGAGCCGGAAGGTCTTGCAAAGGGTGGGCGCGATGATCTCTCGCGTTCGGCTTTGGTGGAAAGAAGAAGTCCACCCGCTTGACCAGCCGAAATTCACACCCGCCTACGGCTCGTGACGGCATATGGAAGTGATGTTGCCGAGTGAAACAAGGAGTTGGGGGGGGGCTCCCTGAGAGATCGAAGTTTCTGGACAAAGCCTGCTCAAGGAGTTTTTTTTTTCCGGTTGGGGGTGGAAAAGTTCCGGTCCTGTTGTCCGAGGCTGGTACCACGTAAAGCAACATCCGGGACGATGACGGCATGATTGTGGTGGTACAAAAAATAAAAAAACGTTGCAAACGAGTATTTTGCTTTATTTAATGTCCAACCTGAGCAAGGTGGTGCAACCTTTGGGGGGAGCTGGCGAAGGGTTTTGAAGAGACGAATGGATAAAGGTCAAAAAAAGGGGCTGGTCTGTGAAAATAATCCATCTTGTCATCTGCACTGCACTTTGTATGGCCTGGTTGGCTCCATAAAGGCCAAATTTTACAGCTATTCTTGCGATTTACTGGATAGTCCTAGTTTTTCTATTAATTTATGCTTGTGACTCGTGTAACGTATTAATGTTGAGTTGCTTGAAAGCAAATTGAGTTTACGTATCAAAGTTCTGCAGGGTATGAAGGACGTGTTAGAGTCTTTGTAAAACGAAATTTGACATAGTGTTTATTTGTTATATACTTTTTTTTTTCCCAACACCCTAGAGAAGAAAGGTCAGTGAAGCTAAGAATCTGGATTCTGATTGATTGATTGAGCCAAACAACGAGAAGCATTTCAGCGATGTGGCAGTTATTGTTCAAATGCAATATTTGAACTGTGATATGGGCTGACATTTTTAAATACACCTGCAATCAATGAGTAATTGTGGTGGCATGTTCATCGTGTGCTCTGAATGTGAACGCTGAATAATTCAATTTTAGAGCAATGAAAACCCGTGTGTTATAAGCGAATGACGAATATGGGCTACAAGCCACTGGAACGTTACAGAGTAATAGTTTGCCTTTGGTAAACATGAAATATTAAGAGACAAATCCAAACTTGAGTTCCTGTATTCTCATTTAATCCCCAGTCGTGCTACAGCACGATCCAATTTGGATTTACACGAGCGTCGAAATCCACTGAATCTCAAGACGCCGTACGGAAAGTTCGGAAGCAGTGGGCTTATTTGTTTAACAGAGAGAAGGAGAGGCAGTCAGTCATAGAAATGAGGAAAGTCCTGAGGTTTCACTGGAGCAGGGGCAGTGAGTCTCCAGCGCAGTTGAAGGGGGAGGAAGAAAGTTTTAGACTGTGGGGTCCAGCAGAGGAGAATTAGTGACCTCCAACTCGGTGAGGGCCGGCTGGGTGGGCTTTGATAGAAAGACCTCGGCTGCTGGAGGCAGAGAGGGTGCGTGGGGGAGAGCCCCGAGGGAGATGAGAGGGGAGAGGCGGGTAGGAGCAAGTCCATGGAGAATCTTGAAGACGTTGAGCACCATCTTGACGTGACTTTAATAATACTGCCAATACCAAGCGCAGAGATACATATCTCGCGATATTTTTTGCGCTGAAATTACGACATTGTCACGACAAAGCAAACCGTTTTATTTGTTTAGACATTAACTGCAATAAGCCTCTGATAATATATTCGCCCTTGAACGCGCACAAGGCTATGAAAGAGGAATCTTTAAGAAATTATTGCATACAAATTACAACAGTTCACATCCACGATATGGTCCGCGTAGCGTTGAAAGAGAATGCGTGAAACTGTGGTGGACATAAACGCTGTCCGCCTTTTTTGCCACACGGCATGCACTGCCCATGTAAGAGCCCCATTCTTTCAGAAACAACCCGGAATGTTTACTTTTTTACTCATTGATCTGGAAACGCAGAAAAGGTGGTTCAGTCTTGCTTGAGTTGAATATGAATCTACTGTATTATTATTATCTGGTAATGTATCACTCACGGATAATTAGTGATTGGTTATTTATCATTATAAGCAGTGCAATTGACCACACATAGTGTTTTATTATGATTTTGTATTCTTTTTTTCGTGCTATAAACTAACTTTGAAGGAGAAATGCTGCAATTTTTGCGAAGGAAATGCTAAGAATCCAGGTTCGTAGTTTTACTACCCACAGTGAGCTTGACCGTTCACTCGTTTACGGGCATCTCTGTACGTTTAAACTTGTGAAAACTATTGTTTGTTGATTTTTACGTGTGTGTGTGTGTGCGCGCGTGTTTGTGTATACGTCCGCGTGTTTGTGTGCACCCAACATGTGGCAAGACGGGAAAACAGTGTTACTACGTCCGTGACATTTTGTAAGCTAGTAGAGAAATGTGCAAGGCTTGGTGGGTAATCCTGGAGGTGGCTGTGCACGTAGCGAGGCTGTGCATCGGGGTGTCCCTCCACCAGAAATTGATTAAATATTTATGATATCGCAGACTGACTGCTAACACTGGTTATATTATCCTGTACAGAACAGTACTATACATACTGGAAGATAAAAAAAAAGAGTTTGAATTTGATACCTCTTAGCATGCACTCAAATATGACATTCCTGAAAAGTCTGACAGTTGTTTCTTTTTAAAGTTATAAATTAATTTGTTCTATATTTAAAAGAACGACGAAAGAATTTGAGCCGGTCGTTATATATATATCTCTCTATATGTATATTTGACCGGAAACATTATTCTGATTCTGAGTGCACAGTTCTAACAGTGGGTTTTATTGTGCCATTCATAATTGCTCCTTTGCTGCATGTGCATAAAATGTGAGTTGATATATTTTGCAATTTTTTTTTTACAAAGGTGAGGTGTGGGGGGGGGGGAGGTAAAATTCAATATTTTTAAACAGTTGTGTAGCCTGCACTAGCGCAGCTTGCTAAATGTTACAGTAAATATCCAATGTATGCATTGTTGTGAAAGAAAATTTGGTTACAAAAAAAGTTGCATTTAACGTGTCATTCAAAAACACTTTAAAAGAAGTACAAGAACCTCATCCATATGAATGAGTTTAGGTGGTTTGGCACAAATTGTCTTTGTTTAAGAAGAAATCGCAAGATCATTCACGCCGTTGCCTTAATTTCAAGTTCCAAATATATCTCTCTTACGTGGAATTACTTAAACATTGGTCTAAGCTTCGGGGAAATTGAAACTTAAATCAGAGTTGAGAACAAGTAGGCTGAGGCAGTTGTGATAGGCCTCGCATAATCATTATTTCATGTTGTACTTGGGTTGGTGGACCACGTAACTATGGGTGTACAGAACAAATCATATTAGTGCATGCGCGTTAATGCAACGTACTCATGATAAGTGCTCGTGCCACCATCGCTGAACTATTATTGCGTGGTTATTTTGACCCATTAAAACGATCCATTACGTAAATGAAATAAAAATGTTAAAGATTAAATCTAAAAAAATGACAATAACATAATCTTGAAGTTTGTTCTTTTTTCATTTATTTACTCTTGAAGGGGCACTTAAGGTTGGATGTTAAGCAAGCTAGAGATTGAAAGGGAGTAATTGCAACTCCAGTGGTGCATATTTGTAGAATGTCAAATACGGTAGTGCTGTTGTGTTAATAGGGATAGCTAATGTTGCATTGAATTGAAACACTTGTATACAAGTGTATTTGGTTACAATTATTCCCAGCAGGACTGTATTTGCAACAGTAATGAGGTTTAATTCTGGCAAATCACACCTCTGAAAAAATTAACCCGTAAAAACAAAGTTTTTCACTATAAATCCTTTATATGTGTGTTCAATGGGCCACAACCCAGCCCACATTGGTCTTTGAAACGGGCGGCTAGAGTCCTCTCGTCCTCTGGCTTGAGATAGCTGCCACCTATGGGTCAGATGATTGCCTGCCACCATTAAGCAATTGGTAATTAAATATTAAAAAAATCCTAAAAAGTGGACAATTTTGGAAAAAAAATTTCACGAAAATACATTGTCACGCACAACGAGTCTGTGTGCAAAATGTCAGCTCGATTGGATCACGGGAAGTGGGTTAAAAAACGACCGAAAGATTTGCACGGTCGTAAGCGCGCAAGCAAGCAAGCAAGTGAACTTAATATAAAGGATTAAAAAATTGCCTGATGAAGCTGGTTGTAAGCACCAGCGAAACGTCGTACTCAAATTGTAAATGTTGTGGGCTTACTTTCCAACACACCGCTGTGCTGAAGTAGTAACTGATTGGCACGTTTTGTTAACGTGACAAACGCGATCTAACCCAAAATAACCTTGATTATGAGTAATGAGAGGGGCATTGTTATTGATGGGATTGTTCTCAAATCAATTAAATAAGTGAAAAAAATGTTTTGTTCCCATTGTTTAGACGCTGTGTTTGATTGGTTTGAAAATGGCACGCGCTCACTAATACATTATTCATGTGATTGGCTCTGTGCATTCTATAATCAAGTAAAACAAGGTCGCCTTGTGAAATGATGAAAACGTTTATGAATGTCATAAATTCCTGTTTAGAAAAAAAAATCTGTAATTACGAAGACACAAATGTGATTTTTCTTTGTTAAGTTTTTACTTAAATAGTACATATATGTTTTAATTTAATGAGAAAAAAAAATATGAAATGCTGCAATAATTTAAGTAATTGTATGTAAATACATCAGGTCCATTAATTTTCCACATTTTTAAAATGTGTCCTATTACTGTCCTTGTGTCCTGCTTTATGTCATGCAGTGAAGGAGTTTCTGTGATTTAATAAATTGACTTGCAAATAACTATTTTGGAAGGAAAGACTAAGTTAAGAAGCAAACGTTTTTATAACATTATTCTTTAATTTAAATTGTGTTATCATTTGAATGTACAAAGTAAACATAGAAGTTGTCAATTTTATTAACATCTATATATATAAAATCGTTCATGTCTGTGTGTCTGTGTGTGTGTGGACTGCACTTTCATTGGACGGCGGTTGCCCCTGGCAACGGCTAGCCACGCCTTCGCCGCTTTCATTGGACGGCGGTTGCCCCTGGCAACGAGTAGCAACTTTTCTCCGCGGGGTGGACGCCATTTTTAATAGCGCGGGGGGGGGGGGGGACCGGCACCCGTACCCAGCGTTCGCCGGGTGGGAAAATCAGGCAAGGCGGGAGGCTCTGCACGGTGCTAGGCCTCGACACCCAACACGCCACTCTGAGGTAAATTCATACAAATTTCACGTCCTCTACAGAGTGGCGAGGGAGGCAGAGTGGCGAGGGAGGCAGAGTGGCGAGGGAGGCAGAGTGGCGAGGGAGGGACTCAGCCTCAAAACGAGTAACTGGTGTGGCGTATTAACATCGCCACTGGGGAGACAAAGGCGGCCGGGCGTGGTGGATACAAGTCCCGGGCAAAGCCGGGTCATGACTATGTGTGTATGTGTTTATGTGTATGTCTGTGTGTCTGTATGTATGTGTGTATGTATGTGTCTGTATGTGTTTGTGTGTATGTATGTGTGTGTCTGTATGTATGTGTGTGTGTATTGTGTAAGTGTTTTTGTGTATGTATGTGTGTGTTTGTATGTATGTGTATGTTTGTGTGTATGCATGTGTGTGTATGTGTTTGTGTGTATGTGCGGTTATGTATGTGTGTGTATGTGTGTGTCTGCAGCAAGCGCGTGTATGTGTACCTATGGACGCGCGCGCGTGTGTTGTGTAGGGAGAACGGTAGTGTAGTGCTTAGCGTACTGCCTGTGTCTATGTGTGTGTGTGTGTCTGTGTGTGTGTGTCTGTGTGTGTGTGTCTGTGTGTGTGTGTGTCTGTGTGTGTGTGTCTGTGTGTGTGTGTCTGTGTGTGTGTGTCTGTGTGTGTGTGTGTGTCTGTGTGTGTGTGTCTGTGTGTGTGTGTGTCTGTGTGTGTGTCTGTGTGTGTGCGTGCGTGGTGTGTAGGAGGAACGGTAGTGTAGTGCTTAGCGTGCTGCCTGTGTGTGTCTGTGTGTGTGTGTGTCTGTGTGTGTGTCTGTGTGTGTGTGTCTGTGTGTGTGTCTGTGTGTGTGCGTGTGTGGTGTGTGGGGAGCGGTAGTGTAGTGGTTAGCGTGCTGTCTGTGTGTCTGTGTGTGTGTGTCTGTCTGTGTGTGTGTTCTGTGTGTGTGTCTGCGTGTGTGGTGTGTGGGGAGCGGTAGTGTAGTGGTTAGCGTGCTGTCTTTGTGTCTGTCTGTGTCTGTCTGTGTGTTTCTGCGTGTGTCTGTGTGTGTGTGCGTCTGTGTGTGTGAGGAGCGGTGGGTGTAGTGGTTAACGCTACGCTGCGCTACCAACCCGGCGAACCGAGTTAGATTCCCGCTCATGGCCACCACCGATCAAGATTATTTGAACCTCACATAGGTCGACTCAGCCTCAAACGAGTAACTGGTGTGGCGTATTAACATCGCCACTGGGGAGACAAAGGCGGCCGGCCGTGGTGGATACAAGTCCCGGGCGAAGCCGGGTAGTACAGCTAGTGTAATTATATTTTTCCGTTGATTAAATCCGCATTGTAAAAGATGGCCAGGGCTTTGTTTTGTTGGTGATCTTTCAGCAGATTCGATGGATATTCAGTGAACACTTGTAACACTTGTAATACTCAGACGCAGGAGGCACCGTGGTGGCGAGATGTTATCTCCCTTGCCCTGTATGCAGAAGGTCCTGGTTTCGATCCTGGACCCTGAAGATGCCTGTTGTATATTTGGAGATCGTGTATTATCTCTCCTTGTGTTGGTCGCATGGGGTTCCCTCTGTGTTCTTACAATTTTGCCCTCCACATTTAGAAACATGCGTTTAGAATATTCGGCTGCTCCTATAAATTCCCACGCATGATGATGTTAAGCCACTTCGATGTGGCCAGGTCGACTCTAAAAGTGCTCCTACCTCCGTAGGCTTTACCTGGTAATTATTTTTTTAGTGGGTAATTAAAGTTAGTATTCTTATGTACACGTCAAAGGACACTTATGGAAAATGGAGCCTTATGCCTAATCACCAGAGGGGCCTAATCATAACACCTTTTGAGACATATACTCAATAACTTTAATTTAAAAAAAATATATCCAGTTACTCCACGTATGCATATGCTCCTCATTAGGCGCTACGTCACTGTTCACTTGAATGTTGTCCACTAAATTCTCTAAAAAAACGAATCATCACCACAAGCATCCTTGGCCATAGTCAATCCACTGCTGGCTAATGGCCTCCCCAAGCCACCTGCACACGAGATCATTTCGTCGTTCCATCTCCCCGGCGGGACATATCCTCGGACGCGTTCCATCCCTAGGCTGCCACTCCATCATTAATCTTGACCAGCGGCCATCATCACTTCTGGCCCAAGCTCAGCTGCTTATCTTCCTTAACATATTTAACGAGTTTGATGCGTTGTGCACGCAATAGCAACTCACCAACACAGTTCGCAGATAAACAACTTTACAAAACGCAGAACAGCTTGGGTTGCTCCATGGAGCATTCCTGCTTGGATGACAAAGCTGAAGCCCAATATGAAATATACATCTCTCCAAGACAAAGCCTAGTTGAGTCTCTTGACATGCCATTGAATCTGCTTTGGCTGTTACTGCGGTCGCTTTTCATGGGTCGGAATGTGGGTGGAGGACCAACAACATTATTCGATTTAAAGCTTTCGTGACTGTGGGGATTCATCTTCTTGGTTCTTTCGGTAAAGTCACGTAGAATGGAGATAATGCTGTCTTTCCGACAGACCTGTTCTTCACCTGAGGAAGGCTGCTTGCGTTGTGGCCGAAACGTCGTGAGAATTGTATTATTTTATTATGTTTTATTTTTATTATTTTATTATCTCCCTTCTACGTGACTTTACCGAAAGAACCAAGAAGATGGACCAACAACATCTTACCTAGCGTACGCTTTGACGTGTCGCATTTGCCAACGGTGCAGTGGGGCCTTGGCTTGAGCAGGGTTTGGGCGACCTGCGGCATTTGAAATATTGATGTTTTTTTTCATTTACCGAATTCGAACAAAATGGCTCTTCTTGTTATGTTGGTTGCCTACCCCTGGGCAGAAGGGAGCTCGAGGGAGCCCCTCTTGAGTAAAATGTGGCCTCCGCTTCCACACTTGGCCAGGCGTCTTGGAAAACGTGGGAGTTCCCCACACTTTGCTGCACCACACCCAACCTGCCAGTCGACTACATGTAACTGTGGTGTGCCTATTCATACTGCTGGGTAAACAGTGTTGCATTTAGCAGTGTTGCTGGCAAAAACACACGCCTACACTGGGTGGATCGAAGAATGTGTGTATGTAATTCTGATAACAGTGCTCCGTTTGTAAATTTACCCCAGTTCTCAATGTGGTGTCATTGATTTAGAATCACCGTTTGTCAAAATCAACAACTGCTCACCGAATTGAGAAACTGCACAATACGTTTGAAGTGGGGGTGCAGTGGCGATATCACGATATGGTGGATAATCTTTGACCTCCCCCTCCCCCCCTCATCATCGTAGGACTTTCGGACTAACCCAGTTTTACTTGCAGTGCATTCAGCATGAACACGGCATTTGTGTACCTGTACGTATCGGTGCACAGCAACACCTTTACGCCTCGCTTCTCTGAATGTTACCTACAGGCCAAGTACTTGAAAACGGGTCCTGTACATATGCCCATGTGCATCCGCGTGCATGGCTGCTCATGTGCATACGTAAACACCTACAATTATGTGCATCTCCACTCATGCGTCTGCAAATCCGTTCACTTTCACAGCTGTGTACCCACATTCAAATGTACCGATACATGCTGCACCTGTACACATGCATACGCGAGCACACGGCTAGGGATGCGTTTATCAAGTGTCGGATTAATATGAAAGATCTGGAAGATCTGGTCGAGATATAAAATATCGGAGAGATCTAAATAGCCCCCCAAAAAATCAGATTAATCCGAAAATATGTATGACGTGACAACACATGCGTGTTCCGTATGTTCCTGCCACGTAACGGCACTTTTGTTCGCGCAATAAGAGACGTTAATGTTATCGCGTCATGTAAACGATCTGAAAAGTCCAACAACAACACAAAAAAAGAGAAAAAAATTGTGGTCAGAAAAAAATTGTGGTAACATTTTTTTCTGACAATTGACAGTTTTTGTTTTTTACTCGCAACTAATCCCTAGTACTGGATACACACATTGACCATCGCGTTTGGCGGTAGCCACCGCACGCACTGCATTTAAATTGGTTCAGCCGACAAATGACAGATGATTACGAAGATGATGATGACATCGATGATGAGAACGCAACCATCCGACCAATGTCGTCACTTGCACGTAGTACGCATACGTTGACGCTCGTTTGTTTTGATGAAAAAATCGTATTTGTTGTCTTTCAGAAGGTCCATCACAGATGTGCATTTTTGTATATTTTAATATGTGAATTGTACATATGTTGTCTATTTTGTCATATGAAGGTGGATTATGATTATGCCATGGCAAGGCGGTTGTGTATAAGTCATGAATGCTTTGTATAGTTAAGTAAAACGATTTTAAATAAAGTATGAGCCGAAACAAGATACAGCAGACCTGTGCATTTTTGATTATTACTATTATTTTCCTGTGTATGTACAAACACCGGCCTTTCCGCGATTTAAGTAGGAGAAATGGCACGTATTGAATTGAAATTTCCCAAATTTTCAGAAATCAGGAGAACACAACAAGAAAATTGTTCGAATGTGTCAATCTATGGGAGCATTATGGCAGCAAAAAAGGAATCCTTGGGGGGTGGATCTTACAATCTGGTGTTTGTTACGGAATCTTTACGAACACCAGAAACAATGTTTAAAGGTGCGTCTTACTCTCAGGAGGATCTATTGATTGGAGAATATGCACACGAGAGGGATTACGAAGACGGAACGATAACTCGTGATCGAGATACAATATTAACACTCGTGCAAGATTGTTATGGCGGTCTGTATAGCAAAATAATTTCCCATGACCATACCTGTCAACCCCTTATCAGTGCCCTACCTTATCACAGACCAATTCAGACCTTATTGGTCACCCCGTGCTCTTATAAATCTCAACGTTCAGCCTACAAATTCCCATCACAATGGAGAAACATAAATAGACAAAACAAATGTTTTTGCCCGTATTAAAACGGCTGTTCACCGTATGGACTTGAAAACTCAATTTCTCTATACAAGAATACGGGTAACCCGGATGGGTTGACAAGTATGCATGAGTCGAGGAATTTCTCAGATGAAGAGGAGGAGGTGTCTGGAGAAGTTAAACGTCCCCCTCACGTTATCGCAAAGGCAAATCTCCTGGGTCAGATGATGTAACTGTGGACATGCGACACATTTAAAATGTGACCTATCTATCTATACGTGGCGGACGCTCACCCCAACAACATGCCAGGGTTCCAGTCCGTTTATTCCACCTCCGTCACACACACAGCTCCCTCCTTCATACACAGCTCTCTCCACTCGTCCCTCCTCCGACATGCTCTCTTATCCCCACAGTCCCCTCTCCAATGAACCCCACCCCCCTTCCCTCATTCCCAGCCGCCAATCACACGTCGTCACATCTCGGGAACAGGTCTCCTCATCTCCCACCAAACAATGACATATCGTCATACTGTGGGGGGGGGGGTGGGGGGGGGGTTACTCTCGGTGAGGTCGATGCAGGGATTGGCGTCAGCATGTAAGGGGTAGGGAATGGTGATGTTGTGGGGACCATTGACAAACGCGAAAGATGCGCGCATCTCCAAATGACGTATGTCAAAAGCAATTTTCCCATAATGGTAAAGGAGGGGGTTAGGGGATTTGGGACCGTCCATTTTTTGACCCCCCCTCTTGTCACACGGCGTCACAAAAAGTCAGACCCCCCCCCTCAAATATGACGTCACAAAGCTCTGCCCCCCCCCCAAATAAAACATGCTTCAAATCGCTTTAAACTATTGTCATTGTAGTGCGTATTTAATGTGCCGCTGCACTGCGCATTTTGATGTGACGTCACATTTCTCACCCCCCCCTCGTCACACATCGTCACAAATGTCTGACCCCCCCCCCCCCAGGTGCGTGACATCATTTATGGACGGCCCCTTTGACTTGCATTTGCAGACATAATCGCCTATATTATCCGACTCCATTTACGTCAATACATGTGTAGTGACGTAAATGGAGTCGCTGTGGCGTTTAGCGCCAGCTACTGTCACAAGAGTGGAACTGTGCGTCTTGAGCCTCTCTCTGACACCAGGGTTGGTATGGCATGCACGCGGGGCCCTAGGGGGCATGCTTCTGGTGAGGGTCAGAGAGAGGGCAAGTAAGGACGTGACAGTCTGGGTGAACCCGAGAGGGCACGTGACTGGGACAGGGTAGCGAGGGGGGCCAAAAGGGGGCTTGAGGGTCACGTGATGCTCGGTCGAGAACCTTCTGGTGAGATCCAGAAGGGGGCGTAGCCGAGGGCGGAGCGAGGCCACGTGCTCGGGGAGCATAAAGGGGAGGTCCCGAGAGCAATCGCGGCTGTCTGTTGGAATGGAACCCGTCGGTGCTACGTCTCTTCGATCCTCGGTCTACGGTCTTTACGCTCGGCATCGTGGGTCAGGCAGTGTGTTAGGGGCCGTCCATAAATGACGTCACGCACCTAGGGGGGGGGGTCAGACATTTGTGACAATGTGTGACGACGGGGGGGGGGGGGGGATTTGAGAAATGTGACGTCACATCAAAATGCGCAACTTTAAATAAATACTAGCTGTACTACCCGGCTTCGCCCGGGACTTGTATCCACCACGGCCGGCCGCCTTTGTCTCCCCAGTGGCGATGTTAATACGCCACACCAGTTACTCGTTTGAGGCTGAGTCGACCTATGTGAGGTTCAAATAATCTTGATCGGTGGTGGCCATGAGCGGGAATCTAACTCGGTTCGCCGGGTTGGTAGCGCAGCGTAGCGTTAACCACTACACCCACCGCTCCTCACACACACAGACGCACACACACACAGACACACGCAGAAACACACAGACAGACACAGACAGACACAAAGACAGCACGCTAACCACTACACTACCGCTCCCCACACACCACACACGCAGACACACACACAGAACACACACACAGACAGACACACACACACAGACACACAGACAGCACGCTAACCACTACACTACCGCTCCCCACACACCACACACGCACACACACAGACACACACACAGACACACACACAGACACACACACACAGACACACACACAGACACACACACACACAGACACACACAGGCAGCACGCTAAGCACTACACTACCGTTCCTCCTACACACCACGCACGCACACACACAGACACACACACACAGACACACACACACACAGACACACACACACAGACACACACACACACACAGACACACACACACAGACACACACACACAGACACACACACACAGACACACACACACACAGACACACACACACAGACACACACACACAGACACACACACACATAGACACAGGCAGTACGCTAAGCACTACACTACCGTTCTCCCTACACAACACACGCGCGCGCGTCCATAGGTACACATACACGCGCTTGCTGCAGACACACACATACACACACATACATAACCGCACATACACACAAACACATACACACACATGCATACACACAAACATACACATACATACAAACACACACATACATACACAAAAACACTTACACAATACACACACACATACATACAGACACACACATACATACACACAAACACATACAGACACATACATACACACATACATACAGACACACAGACATACACATAAACACATACACACATAGTCATGACCCGGCTTTGCCCGGGACTTGTATCCACCACGCCCGGCCGCCTTTGTCTCCCCAGTGGCGATGTTAATACGCCACACCAGTTACTCGTTTTGAGGCTGAGTCCCTCCCTCGCCACTCTGCCTCCCTCGCCACTCTGCCTCCCTCGCCACTCTGCCTCCCTCGCCACTCTGTAGAGGACGTGAAATTTGTATGAATTTACCTCAGAGTGGCGTGTTGGGTGTCGAGGCCTAGCACCGTGCAGAGCCTCCCGCCTTGCCTGATTTTCCCACCCGGCGAACGCTGGGTACGGGTGCCGGTCCCCCCCCCCCCCCCCCGCGCTATTAAAAATGGCGTCCACCCCGCGGAGAAAAGTTGCTACTCGTTGCCAGGGGCAACCGCCGTCCAATGAAAGCGGCGAAGGCGTGGCTAGCCGTTGCCAGGGGCAACCGCCGTCCAATGAAAGTGCAGTCCACACACACACACACAGACACACAGACATGAACGATTTTATATATATAGATAGACAACACGTTCTACTTAATTAAATAGACTTTTAATAAATGTTTTCTCCTACATCAGAGTGCAGCACCACATTAAATACGCACTACAATGACAATAGTTTTAAGCGATTTGTAGCATGTTTTATATATTTATTTGGGGGGGGGGGCAGAGCTTTGTGACGTCATATTTGAGGGGGGGGTCTGACTTTTTGTGACGCCGTGTGACTAGGGGGGGGGGTCAAAAATCGTCCAAAATCGCGTGACGTCATTTATGGACGGCCCTTTAGTGACTGACCCGGTTCTGTAGTTAGCCCGTTGTGGTCGAGTTAACCTGTTGTCCGTTTATGTTGGTATGTGAGAATAAACGTGTTGCCTCCAACTTCTTGGTTCTTTCGGTAAAGCCACGTAGAAGGTAAATAATAAAATAATAAAAATAAAACATAATAAAATACAATTCTCACGACGTTTCGGCCACACCGCAAGCAGCCGTCCTCAGGTGAAGAACAGGTCTGTCGGAAAGACAGCGTCCGACAGACCTGTTCTTCACATGACGGCTGCTTGCGTTGTGGCCGAAACGTCGTGAGAATTGTATTTAATTACGGTTTATTTACATTATTTTATTATTTCCCTTTTACGTGACTTTACCGAAAGAACCAAGATGAATCCCTGCAGTCACGAAAGCTTTACATCGAAAGTGTTGCCTCCAAGTTCAAGTGTGTGCCTCCGTGGAACCCACTACACATGTACACGCAATATACTTTAAAGTAAAACAAAAATCATGACAACTCCAATATACTTCCTATAAATTGAAAAGAAATACAGTATTACTTGCTTGTAACTACGCCTGAGTTGCGTGGTGGAGAGGATGGATGGAGACGAGGAGGGAGACGGACTTGGAGTTGGTGAATGCTGTGCAGTATAGCACACGAGTTATCGTACCGCACTGGCTGCTGGCAACACCATTGGGTCACGGTGCTAGGCTAAGGTGGCGTACGTCGCGTTATTCCCAAAATTGCCTCGCGTAAGTCAATAAAAGGTCTAAATACAAACCGCGTTATTCCAAAATGACGCACCACAAGCGCGTAAACCTAAATCAGCTCAAGCCTTCTGTAAATCACGTGACTTTCACGTGGCCAACCCCACTCAATTCCTCCACCTGTCCGTCCGCCCCCTGTGAAAACGGACGCTGCTACTACGTGCAGCTCACTTCGGCTTGCTCCTTTCCTTCTCTGTCCATTTCTCCCCTCCCCACTCATCATCATCAGCGTCTCATCTCCCCGACAATATATCATTGACTCTTCTCCCGTGGTGTGCCACGGGTGAAAGTTGTTTTGTATTATAATCAAGAAAAGTTAGCACTATTAAGGCTACAATTGAGAGAGAAATTACAACAGATAAGACGAAAAATTAAACATGAGTTCATCAAGAATAGACAGTACATATTCATACTTTAAGATATACTTTATTAAAATAAACTACATGTACATTCAATTAGTTACTCTGATCACATGCATTGTGTAACACTTCACATTTGGAATGTTTATTAATAGCAAGTCATGTTTTACAGATCTGTGCGCAAACATCTTACAAGGGATGTTTGACATGCCGACGAATATTACACCGATCAGTAGGTTTTGCAGACAGTGCCGTGATTTCGTATACTGTTTTGATTAAACAGAAATGTACATAGACTTTACATTTGTAAGCTTGACAGGATGTACTAAATATAGAATAAGAGACGTTGAGTAATTTTAGCGATGAACACAAACACGGCGGTTCAATTCTAAATTAAGATGTTATTTCCATACATGGAGCACGCGGGTTTAGTAAATTTGACGACAGCCGTAAGAATGATGACAACGGTTATGATCGTGATATTAGAATAAATGATTAAGAGAACACTGATAAAAGCTAAACAATGAAATCAATTACGGTCGCTACCAATATTATGATTCGTAATTGAATTGTGGCTTAGATTGCGTGAGTATAATGTGTGTTGTACACCCCACTCCACCCGACATGACCACTTAATAAGTTAGTTTAACACGTAGGCTTTCGCGACCAATATTATCCATAGTGGAGGTTTTTTGGGTTAGATCGCGTAAATATAAATGTGTCGTTAAAACCGCCACCACTCGAAACAGCCAATTAGCAAGGTGGTCATTTAAACAAAGAATACTAATTAATAATTAGTAACTAATTAGTTACTAGTTCAGCACATCGGTTGTGTTGGAGAGTAAACCCACAACATTTACAATCGGACGCATTTATATTTACTCGATCTAACCCAAAAAAAACCTCCATTATGAATTAATAAAATTTTCACGTGGGACAAACGTGCCAGCAAACCGGTAGGCCGTGTCAGAGAGCAACCACGTGTGTTCACGGGACACCGTTATTAATTGGCTTGTGTCGGGTGGAGAGGGGCGTACGACAACGCGTTCTACTCTCGCGATCTGCCCCATAAATCAATTACGGTACGAATCGACGACGACGCTCACTGCAGCGACAGCGATTGACATGACGACAATAACCCGGCGGTGATCAATGCAGTTCAGGGATGTGTGCCAGCCTGTTAGAGCCCCAGTCAGTCAAATGTCAATAGCAGGAAATGCCCAAAGGACTATTATGAGCAGGACATTCCTGCGTTGGGTAGTTTGCACAATCCCTTAGCTTGGTAACGTGCGTGAGCAGTGGGCGCACTGAAGTCCCCACTACGCTTCGTAATCGCCTCCTATAGAGACTCAACTGAGCTCTAGTCTCCCACACGCACACACACACACGGCAGCTTCATCATCGCACGAGCCACTAGCGCCCACCTTCAATAAGAACGTTTTAAGGTAGCAGATGGTTACTCTTAGTTTTTTCGGTAAAGTCACGTAGGTAAAAAATGAAATTAAAATTAATACGGAGACTTGTGTTGCCTCCGAAACGTCGTGATTTTTTATTATTTTATTTTTAGTAATTTTAATTTCATTTTTTACCTACGTGACTTCACCGAAAACACTAAGAGTATGAATCCTTGCAGTCACGAAAGCTTCAAATCTAGAATTAGCAGATGGTTCCCTGACATAAACCATGGATGATCTCGTGCTGGCATGACGATGATGATGATGTTGCGTTGAAAATATCTTCTCCGGTGTGTTTTCGGGTTGTTACCGCGTGTTGTTCGGCACGGTGCCCGACGTTTAGCTCCGAGTGCTGGGCGCTTCTTCAGGAACGGTTCTCGAAAACACATCCGAGAGCGATTATTGCAGCTCAACCACGCAGGGGGGTAGGGGCGGGGGGTACTGTCGTGTCGAGAACACTTGGTGGGTGAGCTGCAAGTGTTCGTGCCATCTGTCTCACGCTTTCATGTTCTGGTACATGCTGCTGATGACGCTGCAGAAGTGCGTCCTCAGCTCCGTCCGCTTGGCCTTGAACGTGGGCGTGAGCAGCCCGTTCTCGATGCTGAACATCTCGTTGTGCAGGTGAACGTCCTTCACCTGCGCGGCAGGTGGCAACGTGGAGTCAGTGCAGTCCTGTTCTATTACTGCCCTCTTCAGCGCAGAGCTAACGTCAAGATAAAGTGATTTCTTCTTGGTTCTTTCGGTAAAGTCACGTAGAAGGAAAATAAAAAAATAAAAATAATAGAACATAATAAAATAAAAATTTCACGACGTTTCGGCCACAATGCAAGCATCCGTCCTCTTTCTGACAGCCCTGTTCTTCACCTGAGGACGGCTGCTTGCGTTGTGGCTGAAACGTCGTGAAAATGTTATTTTATGATGTTTTATTTTTATTATTTATTATTTCCCTTCTACGTGACTTTACCGAAAGAACCAAGAAGATGAATCCCTGGAGTCACGAAAGCTTTAAATCAAAAAATAAAGTGATTTGTTTTTTTCCCAACTCATCATGCTCACCAAAGCCGTTGCCTCATCTTCTCATTAGAAATGTCACATTACTATTGTGGGAGCAATCATATCCAAAGGACAATTACTGTTGAATTTCCTGCAAAGTGGTACTCATTTTATTGATCCCGGAGGGATGATGGGCTGAGTCAACCTCCAACTAGGATTTGAACTCGTCACCTTGTGATTGCCGTTGAGGCACCAGGCCGCCCTGATGATATTGGCCATGGTGACGGTATAGAACCGGTAACAAAATGCTCCCTATAATTTGAGTACACATTTCTTACCCAGCCAAATGCCCCCTGACCCTGTTAATTTAAAACAAAATCCACAACATTTGTACGGGAGACCATGCTTAACATGTATCACCCTTTCAGTTTTCATTCAAAGAATGCCAGCAGTGGATATGGACAAGTTACTGATTTATTCTGTGTATCTGTTAATGGACATTGGCGGTACACCGGTGCAACATAACAGTCTAAAATCTGAATTTGAATCTGCGTTGAGCGAAATCTGAACTGGTCCTGGGCCACCCCCTTCACCAACGCACCCAGACCAATGCGGCGAAGTATGGTCAACAACCACAATAACAACCGCCATTCGCCACGAAGTGTCGGTGGCGTCACCACGGCGCTTGTGCCAGGCTATGTGCACTTTAAGTATGGTCAACTACCCCCATGACCAGCAGCGTATCGAGAAAGGGCTGTGAATGTGTTTGTCATAGCAAGCTTACCTGCTCAAAAGGCTGCAAGTCGGATTCCTTGCCGAGGCGTTGCATGTCTTCCAGAATTGCTTGTCTGACTTCCTGAAAAGTATAATCATAATAAAAGTAACGATAATGATTGTGATTTTGAAACTAAAATCAACAAGCATAAAAAAACTACTTAATGTAAACAAAAACTCATCACATTCGTCAATAACACTACCCTATTTCAAAGTTAACATTTCAGCAAACGGCTAATCTTAATATCTCTTTAATATCTCTCTGCTATGAAGAAGTGCCATTGCCCAAATTGTAACCTATTATTTAAAAAATGTTTCATCCCTTTAGGACAGTGCTATCTGTGGTGCACTGGTTAGCGCACCTCACTATGAACCCGGCGACCTGAGTTTGATTCTGACTCACGGTCAACACCAGTGGCGTGTTGCTATCTGGACCGTCCGTGGGCCCGACCTGCACTGACCAGCATGGTGAAGTATGGTCAAACAACCCCCATGCGGTGTTGAGGCCTTCAACCAGCAGTCAATAGCTCAACAAATAGCATCGTGCATTTCTGCTGTTGACACGAGTTCCCACCACCCTCTACGAGCTTTCGCCGCCTTCTCCGCTGTTGTCATTGTGAGATCCCATTGCGCCGAGTCTCTGTCTGCTAGAGATGTCTCACCATCTGGTACCTAGGTCTTCCTCTTTTCCGTCTTCCCTGTCGTTCAATGATAACGAGTTCCAATGTATTATTATCATCATCTTACCCTTATAGAATGCCTGTTCTTCAGTTGCCCCCACAACTGTGCCACTCTTATAAATCAGACTATCCTGGTCTCCTTGGGTTCTCACCCGGTAAAACAAATACATCTTTACGTGAGTTGTGTGCCCGCCGCTCGCTCACCTTATTTCTGCAGAGCTCCGAGTATGTGCCCACGATGCCTTTCTTCCGGATCCAGCAGCAAAGTATTTCTGGGTCAGGTACCACAACTGCAACAAGACAGGCCTGCCACCAGAAAGCAACAGCACGTGCCATCAACAACATCCACCTCTACGCATAGCGTATTGTGTTCCATTTGTACAACGTCTACAGGAGCAATTATAATTATGGCAATGTAACGGAAGGTGATAGCAATTGTCACCCTTTTTCAGGGCCGGTTCTGCGTAGACCCTGTGCCGTGGAGGGACAGTTGCCACTAGAAGTCCCCTTGGCTAAACTGCCTCAGGGCATCGGCATGGTGGAGATGAGATGTAAGGAAATGGGGCACCACGGTGGCGAGACGTTAACTACCTCGCCTGGTACACAGGAGGTCGTGGGTTGGATCCTGACCCTGATGCCTGCTGTATATTTGGAGTTTGCGTGTCTCTCTCCCCGTGACTACGTTGATTTTTCTCTGGGTCCTCCGGTTTTTTCTCTCCACGTTCAGCAACATGCTTTTAGAGTATTTTGGCTGCTATAAATTTCGACATGATGAGTCACTCTGTTGAGCTATCATTTGTGGCCAGGTCGCTTCTGAAAAAGAGCTACGTAGCTCAGTGGACCTTACCTTGTAAAATATAAATAGCAGTATAGCAAGAGTTGCTGAGACATTCAAGCAAGTTCTCTGTACTGTACCTGCAAACCCTTATCCCAATGTGAGTAATTATTATTGTGGTACGAGATGTAGGAATGGTGGTGCAGTGGTTAGCGCACTACGCTATGAACCCGGAAAGACCCGACTCCGATTGGCAATCACACGGCCAACGTCGGCAGCTGTGAATATCTGAACCGGTCCTGGGCCTCCCCTCGGTATGTGAATCAGCCTAATAGGAGTACCTGGCGCGGCGTGTAAACATCAACACTGGGGAGGAAACCGTCCCTTCGTGCTCCGTGCTGGCCTTCACAGGTGCTTGCTTTACAGCACTTGCCCCGATAGTCTACGTAGGCTGCACTGGGGGGGGCATCTTTGACTTTGTGTGTGTGCACTGTGGGTTGAGCTAGGCCACCTGAAGACTGTCCCCGTGCACGTACACCTGGGCCACGGGCTCGCAGCGACAGTACACGTTCTCAATCTTCTCGGGAGCGATGTACTCCCCCTGAGCCAGCTTGAAGATGTGCTTCTTGCGATCGATGATCTTCAGAGTTCCGTTCTGCAGGGTAGAACAATACCCACAACGCCAGGCAGGTGTAACCAGCGTAGGAAACCAGCACACGTACGGTGCGAAAGAAATGCAACATACATTTTTACTAACTTTTTTTTAAAAATCCTTTATATTAAGTTCACTTGCTTGCTTGCTTGCGCGCTTACGACCGTGCAAATCTTTCAGTCGTTTTATAACCCACTTCCCGTGATCCAATCGAGTTGACATTTTGCACACAGACTCGTTGTGCGTGACAATTTATCTTCGTGAAAAAAAATTTCCAAAATTTTCGAATGGTTAGGAAATTTTTTTCTCATATTTAATTTAAAATACCAATGTGATAAAATGAAACTCTTACTCAAGAAAAACAGAAATGAATAATAAAATAAAACCGATGCCACGCATATAAAGGATTTATAGTGAAAAACTTAGTTTTTACAGGTTTATTTTTTACCAGGTAAGGCCCACTGAGCTATATAGCTCTTTTTCAGAAGCGACCTGACAGTCACAAATTATAGCCCAATGAAGTGGCTTACCATGTGGAAATGTATAAGCAGCCACATATTCTGAACGCATGTTGATTTTAAATATGGAGGGAAAAACCGGAGGACTCTGATAAAAATCCACACGACCACAGGGAGAGAGACATGCAAACTCCAAATATACAACAGGCATCAGGGTCGGGATCGAACCCACGCCCTCCTGGTTACCAGGCGAGGTAGTTAACATCTTGTCACGGCGGTGCCCACTACATACAGGATAGAGGCCTTTCCTCAACCTTTGTGGCTTTGTCCCCGAGAGCTCTTTTCGCTTTAGAATCTCATTGAAGCAAAGCACCGAGCTCTTACCATTAGGGAAAATTAGTCTGTTTACAGGCAACTAATTATTATGCATTGCATCGGCATTACAATCGAGCAGCTTGTTGCTGTGGTTAGAGCTCTCGATTAAAGGACGATGAAGGTAAAGAGTTCAAATCCTCTTTGGGAGTCAATTGAGCCTGTCGCTCCACTGTGGTCGGTAAATCAAGTCCCGCGGCAGTCTTATCCAATGGCGAAAAGGGTCCGTGCCATGACCATGTGACATTTCCATCAATTACTTCAAGGAGCTCCGCTCCATTGCTTGTTTGAGCACGGAAGACACTTTGTCAGTGACTTCGTCGAAATGTACTCATGCAACATAACGTTAAGTGCTTTGTGAAAGAATGCTAAGCGCTATTATTGACGTTATGGTTACAACCGATCCTGGCCACCTAACCAGATCCGATATCTATTGCCGTCCAAGTGATCTGCAAAAGAGACGTGGATTGGTTCGTCATTGAATTCAGATGTGAAACGGCAGTGAAGCGGTGTCTCCATGGGTAGCACACTGCTCCATAACAGCAGCAACTTGAGTTCAATTTCCAGCCATTGGTTAACATCAGCACCAAGTGATTAGAATCAAAATCTTTATTTATCCTGGAGGAATACGATGATCTACGAGGCTATTTTGTTGTTTTACAGATGTCCAGTAGGGGCAGGTCAGAAAGTGACAACAACAAACAAAACAAAATAACGATAGGAGTGCAAAGTATAGGAAAGGTAAGCAAATCACTAAATATTCATCAGTAAATATACGATAATTAAACTTTTTATTTTATTTTACCAGATAAAGCACACCGAGCTATTTGTTCAATTTCAGAAGTGACCTGGCCACAAACGATAGCTCAACGAAGTGGCTTATCGCGTGGAAATTTAGAACAGGCAAATACCCTAAAGTGATAGCCTTCATCAACCCACACCACTTACCAGCGTGGTGAAGTACGGTCAAACAACCCCCAAGGACGTGCACAGCCTATGCCCAACAGTGAATTAACGTTGCCGTTATAAATATCTACGTAATTTGTGTTATTCATTTCTCATGGAACAACTTTAATTGATTTAATTGAGTATCATCCACAAAATGCAACACTGGTTTCATGTGAAACAACGCACGGGCATCCATTGGCCAATGTCTCCAGTGTGAAGCCACCCATCCCGATCCACCGCCTCGGCCGTCTTCTCCGCGTCCTTCAGGTACCCCTTGAAGACGTTGGGGCCCTTAACGCACACCTGAGCGAGGCACACGCAGACACTCAACTAAACTATGATTCATATTCTACATAATACGCTCAGTCAACCATTCTACACAACAAAGACTCATTTCCTGACAGCGATTTAAGCCGCACCACCTCTACATAATAATAGGCTCAGTCAACCATTCTACACAACAAAGACTAATTTCCTGGCAGCGATTTCAGCCGCACCACCTCTACATAATAATAGGCTCAGTCAACCATTCTACACAACAAAGACTCATTTCCTGGCAGCGATTTCAGCCGCACCACCTCTACATAATAATAGGCTCAGTCAACCATTCTACACAACAAAGACTCATTTCCTGGCAGCGATTTCAGCCGCATCATCTCTACATAACAAAAGGCTCTGTCCCTTTTACACGCACCTTTACATCATCCGCACCTAGTTTACACAACAAAGGCTCATTCCTAGCAGCGTGCTTTAGCCGCACCGAACCTCACAAAAATAATATTCAGGGCCTACCTTGGCTCCTCCCACCCCCAACCAGTATATATACAAGGACTGTTTCCTGGAATTTCTCTCACTTGATACAGCTATCGTGCTGTGACGGTTCCACCTGAAGACAGAAGCTTGTGTTGCCTCCGAAACGTCGTGATTTTTATTCTATTTTACTTTTATTAATTTAATTTTTTTACCTACGTGACTTTACCGAAAAAAACCTAAGAATATGAATCCTTGCAATCACGAAAGCTTCAAATCTAAACTATGATTATAAAAACTAAACCATGCTTTCCCACCCGATGACGGACGCTTGTGTTGCGCTCGAAACGTCGTGATTTATTTTATATTTTATTCTATACCCACGTGACTTTACCGAAAGAACCAAAGAGTATGGATTCCTGCAGTCACGAAAGCTTCAAATCAAGATTAAACTATGATTGTTTTTTATTTTAGCAGGTAAGGCCCACTGAGCTACATATCTCTTTTTCAGAAGCTATCTGGCTAATCACAAATGATAGCCCAACCGAGTGACTTATCACATGGACATTTATCGCAGCAATGATTTACATCTGGGAGTTAAGTTGATAACCCAGTGACGTGCCACCGTGAGTCATTGTTTTTATTATAATGCGTGGAGAAAGTAGACCAATGTGTGGAAAAGACTACATTTAGATTTTTAATGGCCACAACTTCTCTTCTATGTTTTTATTTTATTTTAAGGCCACAAGGTTATTGACAAACATGTTGACTTTTTGTTTGTTATTTGTGCTTCTGCACCGCCGCCAACTCAGTAGGAGCATCACCAAATAATTTGAGATGTAGTAATTGGCCTCGCTTTATAATTGCACACTTTGTCAAGACCTACATACCACATCTATAAACTACCGGAGTGAAATAATGGCCATAATCTTCACTTGTCTAATGCCTTGATTTTATATCTGAATCAGTCCTGGGCCCCTACCATCACCAATCCACACTGACCAGCATGGTAAGGTATGGTCAGCCGATACCCCACGACCAAAAGCCACGGGGAAAGGGCTTCATTCAGCCGTAGATTGACACGTAGTTGATCATTGCTCTCATGTTAAACGTACCTCTCCCTTTCCCTGTGATGTGTAATATTCCATGTCTTTCACATCGTGCAGTTTTATGTAATTGCATGGCATCGGCGCTCCAACGTGACCTGAAAATTTGGAAATTAAAACAAAAACCAAGCCCATGTCATTTTACGTCTCGGGAAAGTACTTTTCAGTTTTCTCTTTAAGTAAAGATACATTGTTTTAAAGCTATTTTCATAGCGCAAGCTACGAGTATCGCCTAGCTTAAGCGCTCAACATCACCGGTATTTTTGGTTATACTTAAGAAAAAAATGAAAGTTTATCGCTGCTCAAAGGATCAATTGCCAGTGATATTGGCCCCGAGGCTGTTAAAATATTCGGGGGCCCTCTTAGAAAATTTAATTCCTTCCCTTGACTGTTTTACCATCACCATCACATATTTGTGCGTGTGTGTTTTGTTTGTTGTCCTTTCGTCGCACCTCCGATTAGCACGGTTGGCTACGCACTACGTACGGTGCGAAAGAAGTTATAAATGCCAAACGCCCCATTGTTATTCGCCCTGGCTACTTCAGCACTGATATTTTAAATGCGATATGCGAATTGTATAGTTGAATCAAAGTAAAATTTAACAAGCCTTTTTTAAATTCGGCAAATAAATTCGGCAAATAACTGGTGGTAATGCACAGTGATGCTACTACGGCTTTGAATACCAAAATAACCTTTAGCATGTATCAATGTGCTACAGTACTGATTTTAACCGTTATGAATCAGTATGCATATATGTGTAGTGCTGAACTTTACGCGGACAACTTCTTTTTCCGTCATCACTTTATTTTACAAAACTCAGCACATTCCACAACCAAGACTTCGGCGCGTTCTCTGCTCGCTCGCCGCGCTCCGCTGGCCTCGCTCGCTCCGTTCCCTCCCTCTCTCTCTCCGTCTCTCTCTCCCCGACTCTCCTCTCTGCTTCGCCCGTCTCGGCTTTGACTGTCTCGCTCTCTCTTGGCTTCTCCATCTCACTCCGACTGTCTCTCCCTCTCATCTCCGTCTCACTCCAACTGTCGCTCTCTTTCGGCTTCTCCGTCTCACACCGACTGTCTCTCTCCCTCTCTCGTGTCTTCTCTGTTCCCGTTCCACTGCTAGCCTATCCTATCTCTCATATCTTCTTCTTCTCCGTCTCCACTATTAACCTATTTTTCTTATTCTGCTCCGACTGTCTCCGTCCAGCTCCCAGCACAACTCCCCGTCTCACTCTCACTCTCCCATATTTATCCCCGTCCTCATTAATTTCCAATTAATTAACCGGAGTCCCCCCGCCGCCACCTGCTCCCATCCCCAGACTTGCTGGCGCCACCTTGTCCCTGACAACAACAACCAGCCAATCACTGCCCTGCATCCCATAATCACCTAACGAGCCGTCTCTCTCCGGCCGTTATCCTCCAGCAACACCTGCTTGTCCTGATGCGACCCCACTGTCCATAACCCACACGTGTTTACAATTTACCCCCCTGGCGCGCGTTAATCCACTACATATGTATACTTTGGGGTGGTGGGGCCCAATATCTGAGGCTCCGGGCTGCAGCCCCGAAACCTCCTTCGTAAATCCTGCTCTGCTCATCCTGAATATAAATACATGGCTTAATGTTTAGTTTCAATATTAACTGTGTCAGGGCTTATTATCTCACTGAATATTTTCTGGGTCCCTGGTAGACTTAAGGTAGTCGGCATATGGTTTAGTAGTAGCCACAGCCACAGAAATAAGTATACTGCATGGGATGTGATGTGCCAGTTCGGGCATATTGCGAGGAGCGTGGACTTACAGCGACCCGGCTGAAATAAAGCCTTGAGCTCCGCAGAATTCACTATTGAATACATCCCAAATGTGATGCTGCATCCTGTAAGGGGGTTCTGGAATGAGGCCCCCCAAAAAAGCATGATTGGAACGTAAGTGGTGATACAAAATGAAGCATGAATCCTCACCGGCCTTCCAATCTCCAGGCAGGGTTAGGGTACAGCCAGCTGTACATTCTGTCTGTCCGTAGCCTTCATACATCTGGAAACAAGTATGCAGCATTTAAACAAAATTTACAAGAATTGCTTAACTTTCCCATCTCTAAAATTACTTATGAGCAATGGATGTGTGCATGTGCGTGGGTTTACAAGTGTGGGTGCAAAGGCTCATGAAATACGCCACAAGGCAGCTGGGCAGCAGCTGCTCTGCAGCACCAGCAGAAGGGCAGAGGGCTGATGCTCAAAACAACGAGCAGCGCTTTGGATGGATAAAACACATTGAGTTGGCACAGTGGGGAGCGCAGGTGGTGCATCTGCCGCTTACCCTTTTCTGTGAACCATTAATATGTGGGTCTGTCCAGTGACCGGTTATCAAACCTTCGCCACCCCACGTGGCCTCAAAGTGCACCTAGCCTGGCACAAGCTCCAGGTGATTCTACTGGTACTTATTAACTAATGGTTGCTATTGCTTGATGATGTGTGCCAAGTAAACGTTGATCCATTTACGGATTTTTTTAAACAAAAGATTACGTTTTTCTAATTCTTCAGATTTTAGCGCGGGGTATCGAACGACTGCATCGGCAGCGTAACAAACGCTGTCGCGCTCGCAGCACCTGGCATCCCATAACGACGCGCAAGAAGTTGAGCACTCCCGGGGAGATGGGAGCAGCTCCGGTCATGATCATGCGGACGCGTCCGCCCACGCTCAGCTGCAGCAGCCACAACACGGTGTCCACACAAGCAACAGACAGCTGGTCAACGCTCGCCAAGTGAGATGTGCAGACCTTGGGCATAACAACAATAAATAATTTCACACGTCTGATATTCACTCCGTTCTTGTGGCGGGAGCAAGGACATCACAAATGCGCTGCGTTTAGCAGATGGACGAAGTCTACGAGCAGGGGACGAGGTTTCCGCGCGAGAACCTTTTTTTACATAGGTCCGTAACAAACGCTTTAGGTGACAGAAAAACTCGGGGGGCCCCCCTCAGACCCGACGCGACACATAAGACGGGGGAATTTAACCGCAGGTGTAGGGAGGTGGCTTGTGTACATCTATCGCCTCTTTCACACAAAGGAATCGGGTCGGGGAACCAATGTGTTTTTATCTGGGGGAGGGAAAGGGAAGGGACGGTAAGGGTAGAAGAAGGGTGGGTGGGGGTGTACAAGGTATTCCCAAGCCTGCAGCCGTGTGGTTTTACGCAATTAAGTAATTTGCTACGGCTGTAACAATAAGGGCTAATTTGGGACGGCACGCTGGCACATATGGCCTAATCTTTTTAGAATAATATCACAGGAGTATTATCAATAGTTGTGCGCCGGGTTCCATTGGCAGTTCTGAGCCAGTGATTGAAATTCCACATTCCCGTGACAGGGGGTCAAGTCTACCCGTAGACAATTTATATTGAATTTATAATGAACAAGGGAGCAGGATACTGCTGCGCAGGCGTTCGTGGTTGTGCTGCGTAGCTCTCTCCGATGTGTTCGATGGTTGTGGTCGTGTGTTGTTCGGCTCGGTGTCTGACGTTTCACTCCCAGTACGTGGATATTCAGAGGAGCTCACGACTGAATGTTCACTTCCTGAAGAAGCTCACCCTGCCATGCGGAGCGAAACGTCCGATATATCGCGCCGTGCATCACGCGGCACAATCGGAAAGCACACCGGTCGGAGAGCGATAGGAGTAGGATGTTAATTTGTTTTGGGTTCATCTGCAGGTGGAGCCCTGCAAGAGGAGCCACCTGCATGGGGCGGAAGACGAGCCAGTCCCACAGGGAGTTCCTGCGAACAACTCCTCGCTGCAGCTCCGCCATCTTCCGCCGCGCCCCGAACTCCAGAAGCTTCCTCCGGAAGGGCGTTCGGGTGCTCCCAAGCACCTGGGCAGCCGCGGTCAACCCGGCAGCAGCAGCAGCAGCAGCAATGGCAGCAGCAACGTCATGTCATTCACACACTTCATTATCATCGTCATCACAGTCATCGTTATTACGGGTGGCAGCAGTGTCATCAAATCCATTATCTGTAACAGTATGACAAGCAGCAAGTCACCATCATCATGAGCAGTAGAAGATTCAACATCCTAATCAGCAGAGTAGATTCATCATCATCTCCAACAGCAGCAACAGCATCAGTAGCAGCGCGAACCTTATCGTCATCGGTGTCACCAAATAGCGATAGCAGACTCATTGTCATCATTAGCATCAGAACAGGAGTGGTCGTGGCAGTAGCAGTGGCAGCAGGTGCATCATCACCATGATTCATCTGGGACCTCCACCGCGTAATGCTGCACCAATTGGGTGGAAGTCAACAATGGCTGTCTTACAGATACACTCTTCTCTGGCCGCATGAATGTGGACTTCCCGACAACAAGAGATAAGCCACGTCCGAGGCTCGTTTTTTATGAGTTGGGCATTTGCACTTGCCCACCTGGTGACTCTGCGAAGGTTTAGACCAGGGGTCCTCAAACTTTTTAAACAGGGGGCCAGTGCTCACCAGCGCAGCCCAATCAGTGCTCACCAGCGCAGCCCAATGAGTGCTCACCACCGCACCCCAATGAGTGCTCACCACCGCACCCCAATGAGTGCTCACCACCGCACCCCAATGAGTGCTCACCAGCGCACCCCAATTAGTGCTCACCAGCGCACCCTAATTAGTGCTCACCAGCGCAGCCCAATCAGTGCCCACCACCGCACCCCAATCAGTGCTCACCACCGCACCCCAATGAGTGCTCACCAGCGCACCCCAATTAGTGCTCACCAGCGCACCCCAATTAGTGCTCACCAGCGCAGCCCAATCAGTGCCCACCACCGCACCCCAATCAGTGCTCACCAGCGCAGCCCAATGAGTGCTCACCAGCGCAGCCCAATGAGTGATCATGGGCCGCATAAATGTCCTTGGCGGGCCGCATGTGGCCCGCGGGCCGTAGTTTGAGGACCCCTGGTTTAGACTCTGATGGTTCCGTAGCACTGAGGGGCCAAGCACACAAAAAGACAAAGATCCCCCTTAAAGCCTTAACAGACTGTTAGGGCAAGTGCTGTTAATGAGTAGCACCTATGGAAGCCGGCATGGCACACAAGAGGGTGGGTGACCAGCACCAGGCCCGGCCACCTTTGCCTCTCGAGTGGCGATGTTCGCACACCGCACCAGGTACTCACTTGAGGCTGAATCGACCTAAGGGAGGTCCAGGACCAGTTCAGATAATCGTCACCGGTGTTGGCCCGTGAGCGGGAATCAAACTGGGGCCCACCGGGTGGCCTAACCGCTGCACCACCAAGCACACCCACCGTTTGCCGAGCGCACCCACCTTGTCGTACATGCGGTTGAGAATGCGAGGGACCACGGGAAACACGGTCGGCCTGAGGGCCTGCATGTCGTCCAAGAGCAGCCGCACATCGCCCTGGAAGAAGCCAATGCGGGCCCCGTGGCAGAACAAAGTGGCCTGGGAACGAACACGCCGTGAGAAATTCAACTGACGCGGCAATTGGCAGTGCAGCAGGGTGGCGACACGGCCCAGCGGTAGCACATTCGCACCTCCGATTAGCACGGTTGGCTACGTACAGCGCAAAAGAAGTTCAAATTGCTTGTTGCATAAGTTAATGGTTCAAAGTCAGCAGCCGCCTGAATTAATACCGTGGGTGTGATAGCCATAAAAGTATTACCTACGCTGCCATCTGCTTTCACGGTGGACATGAACGATCCCGTGATGTCACTTAACAAGAGTTAGGCCATCGTGTGCCGGCGTCATGGTCCAGGTTTCCCAAATAAATCAAAAATATTAGACACCCGCAACTTACTCAATTGGGATTACACGGAGTAATGATCGGCCCACCACTGAGAAAACTTAGCAGGATCCTCCTAAAATAGAATCACGAGACTCAGTCGAGGCTTTCCTGAGTAAACGAGCAGAATAAGACTAAAAATGTATCGCAGAGGTATAGAGAGGAAAGCGTGAATCATGACACTTACCACCGTCACCTTCAACGCCATCTTACAACAGAAATACAGTACGTACACTGTAATAGGCCAAATGTTGTTGGTAGTTTTGGGTAATCCAACGATAGGGTTGCCACCTGCCCTGGTTTTTCCAGGATTGGCTTCTCCTTGAGGTAACTGCCCAGGAAAATCTACAAGTCTTCCCAGGACATTCATGGCCCTAGTTATCATCGGATGCGTAATAATTCACAATTCAAGACAACGCCTTTCCATAAAATCCTCCCCTCTTCTGGTATTGAAAGATATTTTCCTTCCCGCGATATGTCCCTGTTTTTTTGTACCTTGGAGGTGGCAACCCTCAATCCAATACCAAATACAATGTATTCTGATATGAAGGGCTGCAATACGTCCACGAGATGGTAGTTCAGCAATGGATTGTTGAAACTATCTGTGTGGAATTTTGAGTGTTACCCCCAGACACTCACCATGGCCCCTCCCCTCCCTCCGTCCCCCGCGACTATATAATTCCTCGTCACAGCCATCTCTTAGACACACTTAAGCGGTTGTGCTTTCGCTAAGTTGTCCCCACCTGAAGAAGGACGCTTGTGTTGCGCCCGAACCGTCGTGATTCAATTTAGTTTTTTTCATTTATATTATTAGATTTTTTACCTATGTGACTTTATCAAAAAAAACATGGAATATAGCCTGGTTATTAAGTTTGTAGACTTATTCTGGTTATTTTTCTTTACTGAAAGAACCGGAATAAGTCTTCATTATAGACTGCCAGTACGCTCACTCAGTTTAATAACCATTGCTACAGTTTACATTATAAATTGCCAGTACACTCACCAAACTTAATAACCAGGCTACAGTCCACATTATAGACTTCCAGTACACTCACTCCGATTAAGAACCAGGCTACAGTCTACATAAGTGTTTTTTAAAATTATTTGTATTTTATTTTTATTCACTTAATTGTATGATTATTATTTTTCTATCTACGTGACTTTACCGAAAGAACCAAAGAATATGAACAGCGCATCCATTTTTTTTTAATATCTAAAAAATAATGAAGTATTTATCACATGGAGAGAATTTTAATAACTGGTCCATCTCTTGCCCAGCAGTGGTCTTACCACCACGCTGCCTCCACTGTTTTCCCATTCCTCCGGCACGATGACAAGATTGTAGGAGATTAGGCTTTGTTTAGAAAACAATATCTAAGCAAATCAAGAAATAAATAGCCAAACCACCCATGGAGTTTGCAAATTGAGTTTCTGTAAAACGAGGTGGTTTATTTAACGGTGTGGAAAAATCTATTTCCAACTTGCAGCCCAGGATATTCCTCGGCATCCATTTAGTTGCGACCCAGCAAGCGGCAGAACCTGATTTAGAATCGGCACCTGCCCCGCAGTGTTTATCCTCACACCTATTCCACAGCATTATTCGGTGACAAATGTCCACTGTGCTTTGCTCAACGCGAAGGAAAAGAGGCTACTTCTTATTCAACCGCTGTGTGGGATTTACAAGCGACGTGCACACAAACTAAACAATTTTATCCACAATGTAAACTCAAAGACAATGCACCATCAAAGTATGAGAGCTCAGGGTAAGCATTTACACAATTGGAACCTCATTTGCCAGTAAAACATAATATAATTGGTTGTGCGCCTTTTTGCGTCATCTGGTCCAACACCATGTGAGACTAGGCTCTAAGGAAAGCTGTCTCGGGTGTGGACCAATCAACTTCAAGGACAGTGCATACATTATCAGAGTTATGTATTTTGTTTGCATTATGACTGCAGGTATTGTGGTCTATGCAAACATGACTCCTTGTAAAAAAGGTGTCAGTTTTGTTGCCAGATGAAAGGGTAAAAAACCAATTATCATATTTTTTACTGGCAAATGAGGTTCCAATGGAATATAAAGGTGTGTTTTATAAATGTGGAGGGGGTGCAATATTGGAGGACCTGGATAAAAATACACATGACAGACACGGGAAGAGAGAGAACACGCAAACTACAAATATACAACAGGCATCAGCGTCAGGGTCTGGAATCGAACCCAAGGTCTCCTCCAGCGAACCAGGAGGTGGAGATAACGCCTCACCCACGAAGCCTGCATTGAATTAAAGAGACGAGAGTTCTGTTTACCTGGACCAGCCTCTCAAACATGTGAGCGAGCGGGAGGTACGAGATGGCGATGTCGCTCGTCTCTGGCAAGAACAAGCTCTGAAACCAACACAGAGAGGGGCCAACACATTACTCAAGTGGAAATTATCGCACGCATGCGAGTGCAATTACACAGCAGACGCCATTCCCCTTACCTCCCATCTTTCCATCTTTACCAATAAACCTATCCGAGCGGTCCTTACCTATTACATCTGGGGTAATAGGCACAGTCTAATTTCCACTTGATTTGCAATATCGTTGTTTTTGTTCCAGCTGCACCGCCCCTCCGTCCAATTACACCCCCTGTGCTCACTTTGCGTTGTGCAAATCGTCTATCTTGCTGATGCGCAACCACACACTTGCGGTTCTAGACGTCGAGCGCTTCTGTTGGTGCTAATTAGAGGCTTCATTCGTATTCCACTCATCCTGGAACGGGCACAACTGCCCTCGTGACTCCTATCCAGTCCGGCAGGCGCACCAAAGTCGAAGCATTGCGTACGCGCTGGCATCTGCCGATGCACGCAAACATTTCCCTCTTATCATTAACATTTGAACCCTGCATTGTCTAGGGCTTGATTGCACTGCATCCGGAGGCTGGCGGAGGTGGTGACCGTTGACGTGGGAGCGTAAGAGTATAGTACAACATTCTAGATTTGAAGCTTTCGTGACTGCAAGGATTCATATTTTTAGGTTTTTTCGGTAAAGTGACGTAGGTAAAAAAATTAAGCTTGTGTTGCCTCCGAAACGTCATGATTTTTATTTTATTTTACTTTTATTAATATTAATTTTTTACCTACGTGACTTAACCGAAAAAAAACCTAAGAGTATAGTCAGAACCGGCCCTAGACCTTTGGGGGCCCTAAGCAAAATTTGGTTGGAGGCCCCTTTGATGTATGATTTTTTTCACCCACGAGCCAGCAGTGACTCTAGGGGGCCCTCTGCTGGCCACGGGGCCCTTTGCAATTGCAAGGGTCGCTTAGTGGCTGGGCCGGCTCTGAGTATAGTACAACAATTGATTGACGCTGCGCTGCCCCCTGCTACTGCCCACCACGCACCCCCCACAGCCGACAACACCTCTCATGCATGCCGGTTCGGTTGCCTATCGAAGTGCTCTTTCATCCGGGCTCGCACCTTGCTTAGCTTGCAAAAGGAGATGAGATTGTGCGCGTCCTTGGTGGGCGTTGATTCACCATTCTTGACCTATGCTGCCCGCCATAGAACCCTGCAGCTCATCACACCCTCTTTATGTGCATGGTGGTCGCCCATCTAAGAACTATCCAGGCTCAAACCCGGCTTAGCTTCCGAGATTGGTCGCATTCCAGGTGATATTGTCAGTGGCCACTTTGCCCACACATTACTGAATATTCATTCATTTATTCAGTGTTTGAGCCAGCTGGCCAGAATTGGACAAAACCTAGCCAAATTTTCACACAAGGGGCCGTCCATAAATGACGTCACGCACCTAGGGGGGGGGGGTCAGACATTTGTGACGATGTGTCACGAGGGGGGAGGGGAGCAGAGCTTTGTGACGTCACATTTGAGGGGGGGTCTGACTTTTTGCGACGCCGTGTGACGAGGGGGGGAGGGGGGGGTCAAAAATCGTCAAAAATCGCGTGACGTCATTTATGGACGGCCCTCAAGGCAACTGGAGAGCACAGACGAAGTGTTACTCACCTAACTTTGAAACTAACAACAACATATTTAAGAATCACAATTAAACGACGATTAACATAAACATGATTAAGCAGAAGAATTACAATTTTAAAAAAGCTCACCGATGGTCCTAAAACTATCCGGGACACTGTTGCAGTGCCCAACCAGGTTATGGAAATGCTGGCAAGGTATTGTGGGCTGTTTTCATCATAGCGACATGCAGCCTATGCGTATGTTCGCGTGCATTATTTGTGTATTATTTGCGTCCCAGTAAAACCCCTCTTAACGACGGTAGTTGGTTCCAGGAAACCGGCCGTTAAGTGATTTGGTCGTCAAGCGAGTATAGGAAAAACACGTTAGAGGCTTAATTCGTTCTGATAGTATCGAACAGAGGTGGGACAAAGTCATTGTTATGCAAGTCCAAGTCGAGTCTGAAGTCATCAAATTCATGACTCGAGTCTGACTCGAGTCCAAGTCACATGACTCGAGTCCACACCTCTGGTATCGAAAGCCACCCTTTTTCACCCAAAAAACGCACTTAATAGTTATACAATCGATATGAACACATAAAGATACTAGCAACATTATAAAACACGTAATATTAAAATAAACATGGCTCATCAATGCATGAATTCGTATTCACGTCGTTAACAGGGGAATGGTCGGTAAGTGAACACATTGGGCTCTTTCGATTTAAAGCTTTCGTGACTGCAGGGATTCATCTTCTTGGTTCTTTCGGTAAAGTCACGTAGAATGGAAATAATAAAATAATAAAATAAAACATCTTCTTGGTTCTTTCGGTAAAGTCACGTAGAAGGGAAGTAATAAAATAATAAAAATAAAACATAATAATATTATTTTATTTTATTATGTTTTATTTTGTTTTATTTTTACGAGAAGGGAAGTAATAAAATAATAAAAATAAAACATAATAATATTATTTTATTTTATTATGTTTTATTTGTATTATTTTATTACTTCCCTTCTACGTGACTTTACCGAAAGAACCAAGAAGATGAATCCCTGCAGTCACGAAAGCTTTAAATCGAAAAATAAAACATTATAAGAGAATTATTTTATTATATTTTATTTCATTATTTTATTATTTCCATTCTACGTGACTTTACCGAAAGAACCAAGAAGACATTGGGCTCTATGGAGGCCGTATTATTTGGCAAGGGGGAGGGATGTGTGGTCAAAGGGTTAGGTACCTCGGTCACTTTCAGAAAGCCAGACATGTCGGAGACGATGTTGCGATGGGTGAGCATGGCTCCCTTCGGGTTACCTGGGAGAGAAAAACGCCAACCCGTGAGCGCCCGTCAACAAAACTTCACAAAACAACGGCACCGCAGCGGCGTTCAACGACATCGTCGGTGCCATTCGCATTCAACCGCGCGGAGGCAGCATTTTCTAGAGCAGTGGCCGGCCTACAAAACAGCATATATGACAATAATAATGAGCCATGGTTCCTTGTTAATCACTGTTGGATTGTGAAAGTCTCCACATTCCACGTTGACTGTCAGGGGGGAGGGGTTGTCGTTTGGCCATACTTCACCATGCTGATCAATTTGGGTTGAGGAAGGGGATGTGGAGAGGCGGTACTTCTGAGATCTGTTCAGATAACACCACTGATGTTAGCCGTGGCCAGGAATTAAGGTCAGGCCGTTGAGTACTCCCTCCACCCGGCAGAGCCGGATGGATCAAGTTGGGCAAATAATGCCAATTGATTTGGTTTTTCAACATTTATTGAAAAAAAAATTGCTTGCTTTTCAATGTTCCTCCAGCTTTTGTTGAAAAGCCAAACCGACTGGCATATTTGCCCACGTGACAACTTGATTTGTTTGACTCTCGTTTGGGGGCTGTTTGAGGGATATAGTTAAACATTGACACTATACCTACGGGATATAACCGAAAAAAAATCAAATTATGAAACGGGTCCATGCAACAGATATCCTAAATATATTTGAATCCCCCCCCCCCCTTTGTTCGTAGATATATTACAACTGTTAACGTTCTGGCAAAAGATGGGCTGCAGATAGCTGAAAGAAGCAAATCCATGTTCGAATACGGATCACGTGTCATTCATATTACGCGCACAGTGCCCCCTTTGCAAAGACGGGGCGAAATGTGCAAGTCACACAGGCACACAACGGCACGTTGTAGTGAGCAGCGTAATTGATCTTTAATGCCTGCTATCTGATGCATGCCCTTTTGATAATTTGCCAGAAGCACATTAAACCCACGTGGTGAGAACCAGCCCAGCGAACTGCGAACTGTGATCTCCACCTGTGCACCAGTCCAGTGACGAATGTTCTAGTGGCGCTGTCATTTTAAAATCTGGGCTTGTAAACCCACGCTTGGAAAGTTCGGTCCATGCGCAGTAACTCACGGTATTGCTGAAATAATCGCCGAGTCAACGCGTTGACCAATGCTGCTCGAGGGCTTATTTACTTTAAGAATAATGATGGCAATGAAACGATTTGTAACGCTCACAAATTTAGCGAAAAACGCGAATCGTTCTTTGATCGCGAACTCTTCCTTTGCTTAAGTAGATTAGTTTCCGTTTTTGAAAGAGGCATCTCTCGGCCCATTCTACTTCATTAAGTGATGATAATCTGTGGACATATTCGGTGGAAACGCCACGCAAAGTTTGAGTGACTTGACCCAATTCCCGTAAGAAAAAATTGCAATAATAGTAGCGTGTAAATAGTATGAAGTTTAACCTGTTGTTCCACTTGTAAAACAAATAATTGCCAAATCTTCAGGCTTGGGTGGCTGAAATAAAACAAACATTCATGTTCATTAGACCACGGAAATGGTTTATAATCTATAACAACCAACCGTTAAATTGGTTTGCTTCATTTACATTTGGGTAAGATCCCACAGAGATTCGGCATATTTTAAAATAATTAAGGGGCACGCATGCAAGTTAAAAGGCTGGGCTTAGAGCCTTGTCAGCACGCCAGCAAGGCTCTCCAGTCATGAGGACGTGAGTTCAAATCCTGGTCAGGGCTAACTCGGCTCCTCATCTTAGCCCTTTGAAAAATAATATCAGCTCATCGGCAATCACTTGTTTGGAAGGCAGCATCGGCTATACTATTGAAGTACTAGTCTCTTCCATGAGAATGGTGGAATTCCCATCATTGGCTTTGGGCCACTAATAGAGGCCCTTTGTGAGCATAGGAACACTTTGATTTGACTGTACAAGGGATGGGGTGATCATTAGGATGTTTACTAAGTTAATTGTTTAGTATTTAAATGTCTTCACGATGATCATCAAAATCATCATCATCGTCACCATCATTATCACGAACCTGTACACGTGCAAGCACTTTGTCAACCCACTGGTAGATGGGGGCCTGCCCATGCGGTGCGGGTTGTGTGAGTTAATTAATCACACGTGATCACACCAGTCGGTGGGAGTTGATGAAGGTGTGGGAGCATAGAACTACAGTGGAACAATGGACTCAGTGTAATCAATCAACCGTCATACCTTGTACCAACATAGTTTGGAACGTAACGATACTTTCCCAACTAAGCAGAGGGGCATTTTGCCCCAGCAAGCCATTTGAGAATAGATACCGCAGTGATATGCCCAGTTCAGGAATCGATTTTCATAATTCATTTGAGAACATTGTAAGATAGAGGAATGTGAATCTTACGTACTAATGTTGTTCGCTTGTGCATTCTCCCGCAGTCCTGTAAAGAGCAGACACAGATCGGGTTTGATTCACGAGCCGTCACAGAAGCAATTTACTAGTTCAATAATTACACCAAAGTCAATGCCACTGGATAGGCGTCCACAGTTGTGCTGTGTATGGCTTTTCGATGTGTCTCAGGGTTGTAGCATGGATGGTACAGCGTGGTCCAGATGTACTGTGACTCCCATTTAATTATTTAAAACGTAATATTTTAAAGTTTATTTAAAACAGAAATTAACATGCAAAGAAAAATGTTTTAGGGGTCAATTAATCCCCGCGGTCGCGTGTATTTTTCTCCCGGTCCTCCGGGCTTTCCCTCCACATTGAGAATAGACACGCGATTAGAGTATTTGGCTGCTATAAATTTACACGTGCTATGCCACTTCGTTGAGCTATCATTTGTGGCCAGGTAGCTTCTCAAAAAGAGCTACATAGCTCAGTGGGCCTTACCAGGTAAACTAAAAATCGTTAATAGTTAAATGCCCACTGTAAAGCAGACGAGGTGCAGTGACACTCAGGGTGGCCACTGGAATCTCGGCCATGTGATCACCTACTGCAGTCATGATTCATGTTTGTTCTTGAGGCGCACAACACTTTACATCAAACGACGCGTATGAGAATCGTCGGCTTCCGATATATGGACAACTGAATGCAAATGGTACGCTCATGTTACCTTTTGGCTATGGAAAAAGAGCTATATAGATCGCTTTGTGGGCCTTACCTTGCAAAATATAACATAGTTGTTAGCAGTAGCAGTTTAGACTGGCAGACGACCCCGGGGTGGTGGGGTAAAGCGTGGGTTTAACACCTTCTCTCGCAACCAGTGTGGCCAGCAAGTGTTGCGTGGTGCGGGGGATCTGTGCGCAAACGTGACTCTGCAGATAACGAGCATCGCGTTTGGCAGCGTGGCCCAGTTGGCCGCGTGACAATGGGGCATTAAATTCGTGACGCGCCCACGTAGTCCAATTAACGCCTCTTACCGTTAGGCGCATAGTCATTGGCAATCGTAACGGCTTCTGCTCTCTCGCTGAGAATTGTATTGCATCCATAAGCACGAGCGCTGTGCATTAGCAGTGTGAACATTCGAATGATAGATATGTACAATTTTCATCAGTTTGCGATGATTAGATTGTCCGTAACTACGCGCAGAAGTAGTTGTTTTAAAATCAGCTTCAAAGCAATGTTCTGCGAGTGCCTTCTAATGGCCTTCCACTGAATAGTACAACTGGTAAGATTTTCATTTGCTTTTTACAAATATGTTTGTTCCTTTTTATCCATTGTTTTCCTGTCATGAGATTACGAATCAACTCGGATATCTCACCCAGCAGTAAGGCGCTGTGTATCAGATCAATAATTTAAGTTTCCGTTTTCCTGCTTTACACTGTAGGGGCCCCACTCCCCCACACACTCTGCTATGAGATTGTTGCTTGATAAACTAATGTTTTCGTCTGTAGAACTAGAATTTAAGCATAATTTAAATGTAGCATGGCTTTTTTTCGCGTGCAATAATCAACTATTGGACTGAGAGCATCAATTCACCACACTTGAGAACCTGGTTTAACCATGGGTGGCTGAAACTCAAGATTAAAATCGAGTATCTAAGCAGTGCCGGCTCATAGCTTTGACATCTGAGCCTCCCTGCCACCTCAATAATTAATTCATAAATCGATTCACAAACCTGAATTTTGGTAATTGATAGCATCGCTACGAGAGTAAATCATGACATACCTGAGGATGATTGCCAATGATAGCTACTGCGCCTCAAAATCAGAAAAATTGTCGCGATGTTTCTCGAGTGCCCTCTCGTGGCCTAACACAGAATTGTACGCAGAGTAATATTTACCTTTGCTGCAGCTGCCCTGTGAACCATAAATACAGTGGACTGACTGATACAACTATCATATTGCAAAGTATCGCGCTAATAGCTGATAAGTGTGAGTCGTATGCCAGGCATTGAAGTGAAGCCTCAAGACGCAGTCCAGCAAAAGCAGAGTTCCCAAAACATTATTTGTGCAATGTCTGAGAATCTTCCTTTCGCAAGTGTTTTATCTATTGACATCACTCTGCAGTGATGGCAATAGAAGAAGACGTGATCTGCGTGATTTATTATTTCAGAGTAAGTGGAGCCTCAGGTCGTGTCAGATATAGTCAAGAGAAGTTGACACCACATAACTGATTCAGGAGTCTTAGGCTCATCCAACAGTTACATCTTGACTTAAAGCTTTTGTGACTGCAGGAATTCATATTCTTGGTTCTATTGGTAAAGTCACGTAGATAGGTTATTTTAGTTATTTTTGTTATATTCTTTGAACCTATCTACGTGACTTTACCGAAAGACCCAAGAATATCGTACATCATTTTTCGGCCTGCTCCATGAACATTGCTCGGTTACTGGCGTGTTCAGCAATAATCATCCTTAAGCAACGTGGGACCATTTAATGATCAACAGCGATATTAGCACGAAACTTGTGCGTAACGATTTAAGACAACTGGAATGCCTCGATGATTTAAAGCCAGGATAATAATAATGATAATGATGACACCAAGTTTAATTTGCTATCGCGTTGCCGTTGATGCAAATTGCATTCTCCGTGTATATTAAGATGTCTTCAGCCAATTCATGAAGGTGAATGCATACGGATGAAAGCAGTTTACCCGCAGAATTCTCATGTATGCGAGGTGGGACTTCGTGCAACAGGAACAGACAGATTAGTCCTCACTTTGCTGGGCCACCTGGCGAGCAAGGTCATACAGCACTTCCTCGACAGTCACAGGAAGGGAGTTTCGCAACATTTGAGTCATCCACCAGTCCTCGATGCCTCGCACAGCGCTGGATTTTCAGGTGTGGATAGCCACCACTGAACGCCTCAGGATCTCAGCTGTGCCGGCCTGCGGCGTAGCTATCGAGTGTGCAGCTGGTACAACTTCACCAAGGCCCATCGTGTCAGAGGGGGCCTAGGCCCTGGCTACAGCAGTGTTGTTCATTGCAAGGCCCGTGGGCCACTGGCGGCCCCCGGTGGCCTTTAGTGCGACCCTTTGACGTGAGGCCCACGACAAGACACAAAGGGGTGAAAACCCACCCCCCATCGTGCTGTCAATCTCAATGGTTCCAAATGTGTGGCAGCACTCACACTGACGACGATGTCTTATCGGCAAAAGTGGACCCCCCTTCTCTGAAAACTAGCGGGGTGAAAACACCCCCCCATCGGTTACAGAGAGGGGAGGTAAATCGGACAAGGGCAAATTCCAATCAGGCTCCGTCGCTGGCTCTGTAATGGCCATTCGTAGCTGTGTGGGCCACCCAGCCAGCACGCGCGAATTGTTGAAGTGACCTCGATGTATTGGAAGGACAGCACGTCCACACGGCAGGTGATGCCCCACTGGATGAGGCCCGAGTCGGGAGTCTCCATGACGACCACGGTCCGCAAGCCCGGGGTCTCGCGGTTCTCCACGCCGCGCAGCAGCACGCGGGCGCGCTCCACCGTGTCGCACACCACGACGGCGATCTCCGCTGGCTCGCCGACACGAGACAAAGACAAATGTCCCCCGTATAGCCTTGGCATACTGTTGGGGCAAGTGCTGTTTGCGAGCACCTATAAAGGCTGGCCACGAAGGCACCGCGCCCGGCCAGCTTTGTCACCCGATGTTTACACACCACACCAGGTACTCGTTTGAGGTTGAGTCGACCTAGGGGAGGCCCAGCACCAGGTCAGTTAAACGTTACCGATGTTGGCCGTGAGCGGGAATCGAACTCGGGTCGTCAGCATCGTAGCGCAGCACGCTAACCGCTACACTACCGCTCCACATAGTCACTTTCAGAAGACAAAGATCCCCGTGTAGCCTGAATAGACTGTTGGGGCAATTGCTGTTAGCGAGCACCTATGAAGGTCTGGCACAGCACATGAGGGGGTGGGTGGACAGCACCACGCCCGGCCGCATTTATCAGCGTACACTAATGCACTGACACACGTAAGCCCTCCCTGACCAGACGCACCAATCGACCAATTTGACCAACCTCTGTTAATGATGAAGCGGATGGCCTCCTGCCCCAGCGTGTCGTACAGAGGCACCGACGACCATGGAGTACATGTAGCAAGCCTGCTCCGTGATGATCCACTGGTGGGAGACGTGCAACAAAGCAATTGTCAGCAGCTAGAATTCGATGTGTTTTTTTTCATGCAATCGTCATTCTTGCGGCTGTCAAAGTTGCATGTAAAAAAATAATTTGGTTATTCTTATATAGTACTACATGCCACGTTTCAATCAAATATTGAGGTGCAAATATAATTTGACAGCCGAGTCTACATTGTAATGGTGTACGCACGTTGAAATTATTTCGCACAGTACGTAGCCAACCATGTTAATCGGAGGTGCGAACATCGCATTAGACTCGGGCATGATGATTTCAGCCGGTAAGGAGGCCCCGTTGAGCACAGCAGCTCTACTAACTAATAGGGGTTTTCCCCTTTTTTCTGGCAACAAAAACTGACACCTTTTGCAAGGAATCATGCTTACATTAACCACAATACTTGCAGTCAAATGCAAACAAAAAACTACAATACTCTGATAATTTATGCATTGTCTTTGAAACTGATTGGTCCACACCAGAGACAGCTTTCTTTAGAGCCTAGTCTCATATGGTGTTCAACCAGATGACGTGCGCCTTTTGGTGTTATCTGGTTGAACACCATATGAGATTAGGCTCTAAAGAAAGCTGTCTCTGGTGTGGACCAATCAGTTTCAAAGACAATGCATAAATTATCAGAGTATTGTTTTTTGTTTGCATTTGACTGCAAGTATTGTGGTTAATGTAAGCATGATTCCTTGCAAAAGGTGTCAGTTTTTGTTGCCAGAAAAAAAAGGGGAAAACCCTATTAGTATAGTTTGCTACTGGAAAAGGAGGCCCCATTGAGCTCAGCAGCTCTGTTACAAGGACGACCACAGCCACATATCAACCCAGCAGTGGTGGCAGTTACAGGACGTTGCAGTCGCATATCGAATTTGCATATTCATAGACTCAGGCTTAATTATTTCAGCTTTGTATGCCTGCGAAACCTGGACACTAAAAAACGTCTGATAGGGACAAAATACTGACATTTGAAATGTACTGCTACAGGAGGATACTGCATCTTGGCTGGACATAGAGAGTGACAAACATAGAAGTAAGAAAAAGGGCTGAACATAACAGAAGACTTGATGATGCGAGCGGTAATGAGATGGAAGCTGAGCTTGTTTGGGTACATGCAGGATGGAGAGCAACAGGAAAATAAAAACTGTAATGATAGGAATAATGGAAGGAACTGGGAGAAGAGGAAGAGCCTGTAGAGAGGGGCTGGATGACATAAGAGATTGGTGCCATAGAGATGTGACATGACCTTAGCATGTTGGCACAGGATAGAGGAAAGTGGGAACAAGTGACGAAAATTGCAGTGGACACCTACGGGTTTTCTGCCCATGGAGTTTTCTGATGATGATCAAGGCCCGATTGAGCTAAGCAGCTCTGTTACAAAGACGACCACAGCCCAATACCATCAGCAGTGGTAGCAGTTAGAGGAAATGACAGTATGGGAATGTGCAAACTAACAAGGGCAAGAACTACACTTATTTCGATGAAACATTACACTTCTGTATACAGATAGATTTCAAAACAACTTAGTTCCCTTTCGATTTAAAGCTTTCGTGACTGCAGACGCTGTCTTTCCGACAGACCTGTTCTTCACCTGAGGACGGCTGCTTGCGTTGTGGCCGAAACGTCGTGAGAATTATTTCATTATGTTTTATTTTTATTGTTTTATTATTTCCCTTCTACGTGACTTTACCGAAAGAACCAAGAAGATTAGTTCCCTTTGTCAATGCGCTGTTGAGTGAAGGTCTTCTCTGCACCATGTGGGTTACGAGGGGCTGTTTGACCATGCTTCATCACGCTGGTCATTGTGGATTGGTGGATGGGGTGGGTGCCCGAGACCAAGTCAAAAATCACTCGCCACTGATATGAGGCAGGGCTGGGAATGGAACCCAGATCACTGGGTTCAGAGTGAAATTCATAGATTGACTGTGGTGTGTAAACACAGGTTGAAAATAACGATTGTTGTCTTTACCCAGGACATCTGAGTATTTCAGGAAGTTCCTCCATTGGGATGTTTTCCCAGTTCTATTTTGATGAGTGTTTAGCTTAGTGTAGGAGGGAGATTGAGTAAAGAGATCCAACCACGCATTTTAAGGATTCATGCTAAAAGGTTCGCACAAACAGATACAATCCATTGCTGTACCGCCAGGCCTACAACACTTTGTATTCCCTGGTGGGATCTTACCAGGCACCTGAGTTTGGGTACTTTTAGAGTGTTTTGGTGGTAGGCTTTCCGAATGCATTATTGTGATCCACCAATAGCGATGGAATATCATCATCAAACAAGATCACGGAATTCCATTTGTGAATCCTGATATACGTTTAACCAGTGAAAATGCGCGTGTGCGAGTGCTCGTATAAACAGATGAAGAGGCTTTGCTACCTCTGGCCGGTTCTGTGCAAAGACTCCGATGAACTGGTCCGTGTCTGGGCGGCAGCCTTTGTGGATTAACCCAGAACCAAACCACTCCGACCTTTCAGCAACCTGCAAAGAGAGTAGACACACCAGAGGTCGCAAACGGGTTTTGATTCGTTACCCGTACCCTACCCGTAGCCGTACCCTACCCAATACCCGGCCGGATACGGGTAGCCGGGTATCGGGTAGGGTACGGGTATCGGGTATCCGATTGCGACCTCTGGGATGAAGCCATGTTGCAGGCGTGGGTGGGTTGATTCTAGGAACTTGAATTGTGAGAAAAGACAAGACGTTGGGAAATGAGTGACAAACGGTGACTCACCAGTGACTCACTGGCCTACCCGTACCAGTACCCGGCTGCACCAGGGTCGCAAACGGGTACCCGTACCCGGCCGGGTACGGGTAGCCGGGTATCGGTTACCCGATTGCGACCTCTGAGACACACGGGTTGACTGTAATTTACAGAGGTGGCTCGTGACTCCGATTCTGGGGGAAGCTACAGGGTCCGTCTTGGCTTTTCCTAGCCTAAGTCGGCACTGGCAGGGAACTGGAATGCGACGCCCGTGGCTGCATCCAGCGTGTCTCAAGTGGACTGGTAAGCACTCGGCACACGCGGCTTTGCTGGGTGAACTGGTCTGCTCGGAGCTCAGCGCTGCTCTACTCTGGTGCGTCATCTTAACAAGTCCAATGATCACTTACTCCACTTGCATCTGTTGCATAAGACGGAATTTGTAGCTTGCCACTGCATTTGCCATGAACCACTGACTGTCATTTACTCCCGTGAATGTTTAATGCACACTTGGGTCATTGTGTATTCTCACATATCTAATTCATACGCTCCCTTATCTGCACTTGATGAATGTCACGTGGATGGTGAATAATGTCACACCACTGCTTCTGCTGCTGATGATGACGCTGCTACAGACGATGCTAACAAATGAGCCAAAAACATCCGTCAATAACACTGTGGCCTTAGAAGGGAAACATATAATCGAGGCGACGTCTCAGGCAATGTGCTATGAAGAAGAGCCATTTCCTGAAACGTCTCATATTATATATTAATTTCATTTTAAGGCCACATTTTTATTGGCGAATGTGTTGAGTTTTTGTTGTTAGGGGCCGCCCTTAAATGACGTCACGCACCTAGGGGGGGGTGGTCAGACATTTATGACGATGTGTGACGACGGGGGGGGGGGGGGGTGAGAAATGTGATGTCACATCAAAATGCGCAATTTTAAATCAATATAGACAACACGTTCTACTTAATTAAATAGACTTTTTAATAAATGTTTTCTCCTACAACATCAGAGTGCAGCGCCACATTAAATACGCACGTCGTATTTGAGGGGGGGGGGTCTGACATTTTGTGACGCCGTGTGACGAGGGGGGGGTCAAAAATCGTCCAAAATCGCGTGGCGTCATTTATGGACGGCCCCTTATGTGCTTGTGCACCAATGCCAATGCAGCAAAATCACTGAAACGTGTTTTATGATGATGATAAAGTTACTTCTGATGAAGACGAGGGTTGCTGCTGCGGCTGCTGCAGCGGTTAGTGATGATGATGAAGTTGCTGCCGATGATGGCGTAGAAAACATAGCATCTTTACCTCTTTGTAGGACATCCACTGATATGCCTGTTTGGGCTTCCGATAGCCCAGACACGGCCCATTCTCTGCAAAAGGCAGAAGCATAGTGCACACGTGATTAATTGGATTTGAAACCAGCGCGGTGTTCCAAGAGCATTAATATTCATGCGCACTCTGACGTTATAGTCATGGCTCAATAGCAATCAATTACAAATCATTTTGAGAGATAGCAGCAGTGGATTTTGTTCATAGTTGGGAAGACCAAGAATTGTAGGAGCTTGGATCGAGTTTCAACACCAATTACTTTGATGCATTATTAATGATCAGAATATATGGAAACTTTTTTTTCATATAAATCAGTACCAGTTGATGCAAATGTATCTTGTGAGAGGCTATCACATGTTCCTCAAATAAATAATTGATAGTGCACTTTTTTCCGATTAATCGCCAGATTTATTTTTCGCGGTCAACTTTCGTAGCATGATTGTTTATGGAGAGACTGACAAAACAAATTATCAGTCGGAGATTAACAATGGCTAAAGCGTTCATGAACAGGGAGACACTTTTATAAAAAAAGAAAAAAAGGTTCATAGTTTGAGAAGACAAACGTGAACATTTGAAGCAGAAGTTGAAACACTTTGGGCCCGATTCACGTGTTGACATTTTTTTTCATTAAAAAAAATCTTTGACGTGAAATTGAGCTGGTGCCTTGCGCTAATAACTGGATGGGGGGAGGGGAAATTCCCACGGCGATGAGATTCGGCAGCTTTGCCGAGTTGTGAATGTGGTTCATTACACGTTCAAATGTGGATCCAGATCTTCTCGCAAAACAAATGACCCCTCACCACCACTGTGACTGGTTTCGCTTTCTCCCGCGTCGGTTTTCTGATGGGTTTTTGTGTGCGTGTTCTGGGTGCACCGCGCGTCGTTCAGCACGACGTCCGACGTTTCGCTCCGCGTGCTGCGGAGCTGCTTCAGGAGACATCGGACATCAGTGCCGGACGGCACGACACCACCGCCCGCGAAACACAGCCGAGCGGTTTCACTTACACAACAAAAAAACCGCCACACATTTGACACTTTTAAACATCGATAATGTGAACTGAACCCATACAAATGCGTACTTGAAACGCGCATTCCCCGATGGAAGACTTCATACATGGTCTTTGCATCTTCGTAGTAAAACTCCAGCAATTTGTCCTTCTTCAGGAGGGCGGATCTTCTCACACCGTGTTGGCCCTAAATGGGTTGAGACAAACGCTGCCAAGTAAGGTGTACGGATGGCCGAGCAAAAGGGAACACTGGCCTCAAGGTAAAGGGGGACCCCCGCAAACGCTTGCTTACGCTACTGCTGGTGGAAGAGCCTCCAATGAGAGAGAGAGAGAGCTCAATAAAGGCCCTCTAAGTCGGTATTTTTGGCCTACTCATCCAAGCTGGCCAGACGTCTTGGACGAGGTGGGGGTACCCAGACTTTACCCCACCACGTGCAGCCTGCTGATAAACGAACTGTGGTGAGACAGCCACAGCAAGAAAACAACTGCTGAAGTAGCCGCCTACTTCAGCAGTTTTTTCTTGCTGTGGCTGTCCCACCTGATGACGATTGCTTGTGTTGCGATCGAAAAGTCGTGAGTTATTACACTGGCCAACAAAATTTTTTTTTTCTGGCCTGGACTGATGCAGCTGTTTTAGACTAGTTTCAGGGTGCTGATTCCAAATCTGATCTCAGATTTGCTCTATCACAGCTCATTTTTATGCTATCGGCATACCCCATTTTAATTGATTTTACCCGAAATTAACTCTGTCACTTATGATTGCAAGTTGTTGCGAGTCAGTGACTGCTTTAGTGTTAAAATATGGTGCTGTATTTTTAGGATAGTGTGTTTATAATATAATTTTATGTAGATATCCACATTTATTTAATATTTTTCTTCTGCAGTTTGTATTGAAAAGTCAATATTTTATATCTCAAAAACATGATGTGATAGACAAAAACTGATGCCAGATTTGGAATCAGCACCCCGAAATTACCTTAAAACCGTTGGAATACCTTATGCCAGAAAAAGTGTGTTGACCGGTGTTATTTTTCTACCTACGTGACTTTACCGAAAGAACAAAAGAGTAAAGCATCCATTGTTCGATCGAATCAGGACCTGGAATTGTGACAATTTATTGAATCGCTGTCGAAGGAGGGCCAGTGAATTTCTCCACGAAGATCTTATATCATAGTTCGTTTGCCAATTTATAAAGTAGCGTAGCTTAGTAGGTATGTATAGGTTATTTTGCACCGTATGTAGCCAACCGTGCTAATCAGAGGTGCGGGTTGAAGGACAACAGTATACAGTTGTCCTTACTGTCGAGTAATCGTTTCTCGTGGGTTTATAGGTATTGGGTAAAATTATGCATTTTAGACATTTTACAATTTAGTCTGATTCTCGCTACATTCATCTCACGGATCCTAGACCTCTTCTCACCCAACCCTAATCTCCATGACCTGGTGAATTTGATTTAAATGCAGCACACAAGGTCACGTATCCAGTTATCCCTTGAGCTTCAGCGATAATTATAAGTTGTTCTGGGTGCAATCTTTACAATTTTACTCACGGTGCATGATGTGCAGCTATTGAATGCAAGTTCGTCCTGGGTTTTTTTTTTATTGGGGAAGGGAAGCTGTGAGGCATTAGCGGTGAACATAATTGCATTGCTCAGTAATGATTTGGACTTATGTGCAGGTGCATTACTTATAACAATACATATATTTTTAAAATCCGGAACACTCTGACTGAGTTTCAGTGGGACTGTTTGGAAGAATGTTCACGTACAGCCCTTTTTGTCAAAAGAGTGGTTTGAGGGTTATTTTAAAAGAAAATAATATTCAGCGTATAGACGTATTGGCGGTATACCGGTGCAGCATAACACACCAGACCTCAAAAAAGTTAAATATCAATATGAAGCCTGAGCTCACGATGTCGCTGTTGCCCTTAAGTGAACCGCAGACTCTCCATCAGAAGTTGCCCTGGATCCAGCAGCCGCTTTCCCATTCGAACGTATGACACCACGAGTCGCAATCTTTGGATGCCACCGTCCGCCAAGAAATTATTCCAGAAATGAATCGAGGAACCGTCCCGACCAAGGCTAGGGCACGAGGAGTCAAGTCTGTCTTTGAAACACGGAGCCAACAGACTGTGAAGGCAACAGACTGTGAAACCTCGTCGTCTAGCTGCTCATCACATTCATCTTCCAACTTCTTCAATGTCACGAGAACTGATTTGGACGCACCACCCCACAACATCTTTTCGACCGAGGTCGCGGGAAAAGAAATAATTATTACGCAAAAATTTGCTTTTTCTTTCAACCGCGTACCGCCGTACCGCCAATACGTTCGTAAGGAAAGAGGCCGCTCTCGCTCTCTCTCTCTCACGGGCCCTTAAAAACGAATGTGCACGGGGGGCCGTCACCACCCTGCTGGGCTCACCTCAACCTCCACGGACTGCTGCGTCAGCTGGCACGGCGGGCAGATGGGCCGCGGCCGTGACAGGTACCAGTATCCCGTGAACAGGGAGGCCGTGCCAACTCCGAGCCAGGCGGAGGGGGGCATAGACCCCCACACGTTCTCGAGGAGCCCCCCGATAGAGAGCATTTGCGTGCGCCAAGGGATGTACTCCTCCACCCAAGCCATCTCGTGTCGAATCGCCGGGATGCTGAGCCAACCTGCAGGTCACAAGTCACGATCATTTAAAACAACCCAATGGCTATTGGCTGTTCAGTGTTAGGGATGGATGCTGCTTGCCCTGCTGCCTGACCTTTTTATAGGGGGGACGATATAGCAAACATGCTCAGGGAGGGCCCAACACAGTCAGTGTCAAACAAATGATGAACAGAATGAGAAACGATATGATCTGCTTTTGTGAATCATGCAGGGAGGGGTGGGAGAGGTTATTGGACCATACTTCACCACGTGGGTCAGTCAGGTTTGTGACAACGTGGGAGCATATAATTAAATAGTTAAAGTATAACTATTCACTTTGTTGCACTTGCTCTCTGCTGCCCAGAACGTAGCCCTGCAACCTACCTATAGCACCTGGTATGCATGGTGGCCACCTATCTAAACAGCATCCAGACAGATGATATTGAGTACATTCAGGGTGATTTTGTCATAGCCTTTAAAATATGTAACAATCAGGATTTCAGATCGATTTATGCAACAAACTAAGCCTTCCCTTGCAAATGTGAAAGAATTTGAAACGGTCGCTCTACAGAAGCAGACACTGGAATGGGAATGGCTCAGTGCATCGCATAATCAGCACCGGTGACGTAGCCATCTACAGAGTGTGCAGGCGGTGCAACTGCACCGGGTCACATGGACCAGAGGGGCTCTGGCACTGCGCTACAGACGGGAGGGAAGTGGAAAGATTGAACAGAGGAGGGGGGGGGGGAATTTATTTTGCGGCGCCACGGTGGCTAGGAGATGTTAACTACCTCGTCTGGTATACAGGAGGTTGTGGGTTCGATCCCGACCCTGATACCTGCATATTTGGAGTTTGCATGATCCCTGCGTGATGACATGGATTTTTCTCCGGTTTTTCCCTGCACACGATAAGCCACTTCGTTGGGTTTATCATTTGTGGCCAGGTCGTTTCTGATAAATAACTATATCGCTCAGTAGGCCTTATCTGGTAAAATTAAATATAAAAACATGTTTTTAGTTTAGTTTCAATTATCTATAAGGGAACCTACGTCGATCATCATATGCCACTAAACAGCACACTTTTAAAGAGATTTGCAAGTGCAATCGTTGGCGTGTTGAGATGGCACCAGCAAAAGGGCCTGCAGGTGAAAACGTTTACCCATTTACAGCCCAGAATCTCGGATGTACTGGCTGAGTGTTATGACATGGGCATTACAGCAATGGAGAGTATATTTAGTATATTGATGATACTGACGTAGTTTATATTTTAGTTTTTTACGTGATGGTTTAGCTGCTGCAGCTCCTTACTATTAAAATTCCTTCCCTCTATTACTGCTAACCCTACTCCCTCCCGTTGATGCTGCTAATGCTGCATACTGTATAATGCACGGGCATAGTATGACTTTGAAACCCCCCCCCCACCTCCTATGCATTCTACAAGTAGTGACTAATCCCATATCTGCATTTGCCATAAATATGCTAAATTACTCTTGATATGCAAATTCCTTTGTCAAGGCACCCCTTCCCCCCTCCAACCCAGCTTAAATATACGCTGCCAAGCCTGGTGGTGTTCATTCAGACGCTGCCTTTCCGACAGACCTGTTCTTCACCTGAGGACGGCTGCTTGCGTTGTGGCCGAAACGTCGTGAGAATAATTTTATTGTTTTATTTGTATTATTTTATTATTTCCCATCTACGTGACTTTACCGAAAGAACCAAGAAGAGCAATGGAACTGTTAATATTGCAAAGAATGTCATTAAAAACAATTTAGCAATGTCTGAAAATGAGAAAAGAAAAATATAGTTTATACTGCACGACTAAGCCTTTTTCATTGGCAAATATTCCCGCAAGCCACTGTGCACTGTGCTCTGATTGTTTTTCATTTGAGAGTTATTTATTTTATTGGACCATGTTGTTTAGTTTTGTAAAGTAATTGCCCATTGAGGCGCTAAATATTTGAAGGGATCAGGGACTTCAGGAATGTTTCAACGTGCGCGGTCGTACGCAACAACATTTTGGACCAATCGCTAATTTGTCAACAATGTGGATTTATGTTTTAAGTCCTGCACTGCATTATTGTGCAAGATCATGCCCCTTAAGGCGCGTGCTAAGTTTTGCAAACCAATGTATGCACGCAATGCAATGTGGATTCACAGAGAGTACAAATGCAACTGCATCTCATGTACGTTGTACATAACAGTGAGTGTGTATGTTTATTTTATATAATTAGGAAGATCTGCACTTAAACAGAAGGAGGGATTTTGGGGAAGAGAGTTCCAGACCATGGGAGGAGAAAACGAGAATGAGCGACCTCCCATTGAGTTGAGGTGGAATGGGCGCTTGACCGGAACGTTTTGGTTGCTGGAGCAGAGTGCGTGACGGGAAATAAAATTAGATGAGAGGGGAGAGACAGGAGAGTGCGTGGAGGGGAGTAGAGTGACATGAGAGGGGATAGGTAGGAGAGTGCGTGGAGGGGAGTAGAGTGAGATGAGAGGGGAGAGACAGGAGAGTGCGTGGAGGGGAGTAGAGTGAGATGAGAGGAGAGAGGTAGGAGTGTGCGTGGAGGGGAGTAGAGTGAGATGAGAGAGGCAGGAGAGTGCGTGGAGGGGAGTAGAGTGAGATGAGAGGAGAGAGGCAGGAGAGTGCGTGGAGGGGAGTAGAGTGAGATGAGAGGGGAGAGGCAGGAGAGTGCGTGGAGGGGAGTAGAGTGAGATGAGAGGGGAGAGGCAGGAGAGTGCGTGGAGGGGAAGTAGAGTGAGATGAGAGGGGAGAGGTACGAGAGTGCGTGAACGGGAGTAGAGTGAGATGAGAGGGGAGAGGCAGGAGAGTGCGTGGAGGGAAGTAGAGTGAGATGAGAGGGGAGAGGTAGGAGAGTGCGTGGAGGGAAGTAGAGTGAGATGAGAGGGAGAGGCAGGAGAGTGCGTGGAGGGAAGTAGAGTGAGATGAGAGGGGAGAGGCAGGAGAGTGCGTGGAGGGGAGTAGAGTGAGATGAGAGGGGAGAGGCAGGAGAGTGCGTGGAGGAGAGTAGAGTGAGATGAGAGTGGAGAGACAGGAGAGTGCGTGGAGGGGAGTAGAGTGAGATGAGAGGGGAGAGGCAGGAGAGTGCGTAGAGGGGAGTAGAGTGAGATGAGAGGGGAGAGGCAGGAGAGTGCGTGGAGGGGAGTGATATATTGTAAAATGGCTGACGATGACCGTACTGAGTCGTACTTATCCATCAGTAATTAATAGTGATAGAGTTTGCACGCAGAGGTTCATGAAAAATGACTACTGACTGCTCATCGCGTGCTCTTATTGCCGCGCGGCTCCTGCACTGCGTTTCATAACCACTGCTTCGGTCACCAGGGCAGCACAACATGGCTTTGTTATGCCGCAGCCGGTGCACAGTTGGCGGAGAACAACATGACATCACCATCGTCGTCGTCGCGGGTGCCACCAGTTTCCTGCTGCTGCCAGGGACGTGTTCTGCGATGGGTGGGCTAATGCCCTCCCCTCCCGAGGTCACTAAGCACAGTGCCGGATTATCCCGGTAGCACAAGTAGCTGCATATGCTACGGGCCCCGCACTTTCAAGGGCCCCGCGCGGAACGCTTTCAGGCTATCAATTCCGGTTCAGTCGTTCTGCACTTGCTCTATTACTATAGTACTATACTGCCTTCAACTTTTGGTGTTTAAGATTTGTCGTTTTATCTGGCTGTATAGCAAATGAAAAAATTGCACACAGCGTTGGTGTACGGTGCTTTTTGTCTGGAATTTTTCCTGTTTTTTTTCCTGGATTTTCAGTTTGCACATAGTCACATAATTACTTTAAGATGTTTTCTTGTTCATGTTTTAGTTTTTTGTTTGTTGCGGTTGCACCCAATTCAAGAGCCGAATGGCTCGCAGGGCTATACCTAATAAATTAACTTGAACTTCAACAGTGCTCTTTGTTGCTGGCCGCGTGGCGTATTTGGGCCTATGCTTCAGCAACTGTATTTTAATACAAAAACTTTGATTTCAGTTGGGTCCTGTATTGAGATTTTTAAAAATTAAATAAATTAGGTTGGCTTTACGTTCAGAACCGGAGACAACCAAACGCATACGGGGGGAGAACTCACTCAAAGCTCTGCACGGATATATTCAATACACACACTCAACCATTTGAGTGGACTGAATCTATCTTTGGACCGAACACATTGCTGTTACTGATATCTACTGACAACTGGCATCCCTCCCTGCCCCACGCCTATAACACCTTGTATGCATTCGTGATGACCTATGAATAAAACTAAAAAAACTGATTTTAGGGCACTCCATAGAGTCTCATTTCAGACTCTGCCTTCTCGACAGACCTGTTCTCCACCTGAAGACGGCTGCTTGCGTTGTGGCCGAAACGTCGTGAGAATTGTTTTATTGTTTTATTTTTATTATTTTATTATTTTCCTTCTACGTGACTTTACCGAAAGAACCAAGAAGATGAATCCCTGCAGTCACGAAAGCTTTAAATCGAAAATGGATTTGGTGTCTTTATTTATTCAGCACTTGAGACAAAAGGTAAGCATAATTTATGCTTCTACATTATGGTAAAATAGAAGTTTCTCGGTAATTTTCCAGCTATTGTATCGATTTCCAATTCATTTCAACCCCAACGACCGAAAGCAGAAGAGAATAAATTATCAGAGCAGTGAACTTGAACAAATTGAAGGTCAGTTATATACAGTGCTACAGTGAAATGCAGTGAAGTGTTTGATGACGTACTTTCGTGCAAGATTCACTGCCATTAAATTTCCACAAGTTACAATTATACTCTGCTCAATTTTTTCATAAATGTTACAGCTTCCGTCCTAGGACGGGCAAAGAAGCTAGTCAAATAATATTCAGCTACCTAATGTCTGACACGAAAACCCCAATGATATAATCACCCGGAATAGGTCACACTCAACAGATCTCAGAAACAAAGCCACGTTAAGCCTGCTCGGATGGGCGACCACGATGCCCTGGGCAGAGGGCATTGCAATGAAACACATTCACTGACCAGCGTGGCGAAGTATGGTGGGAAAAGCCCCCCATTACGGTGTGCCGGGCACAGAAATAGTGTCACCAACCCGGAAAGACGCGGCTGAAAATAAGCCCTACACATGCGTTGCACGTACATACATAACACACACGCGGGCATGCTGAGAAAAAGTGTAGACTATCCTTGCACATGGTATCAATGGGTGGCTGATGGCAGTGCTTGTTTTCTGTGCTATTGGTTGTATGTATGTTGAACTTCCTTCGCGCCATGCGTAAGCCAGCCGTGCTAATGGGAGGTGCGGAAAGATTTCAGTGCAAGCGAAGCGTGGTTATATGTGCAAGAAATGATAGTGTGCAAATAGCCACTCCGCTGTGCGTCCGTCGGTCTTAATCCAGATTTTCTCTAATCAAGCATAATCTCCTCCTTCCGTGGGCAGATGTCTCTCTCCCCATTGATGGTGAGGCGAGGGGGAAGAGGAAGTTTCTCAAAAGCGGATTAGTGATGCCTGCAACATCCTTGGCCTACTTTTATTTCGGTTGCTTTCTATTCACGCCGCCACCGTTGTCTTCGCTTGCTATTGGCCGGGCTCTTACGCTCCCAATGGTTGTGATGAATAAACAAGGTTAGAGTGCATCGCACTGTCCTCTCCCAACGGTTGTGATGAATACAAAGTTAGAAGAGTACGTTACACTGTCCTCGATCATTACCTCAACCACGGTAGGGTGGTGAGCCGGGATGATCTCAGCCCATTACCTGATGATCAGGGTACGAGTTATACATGTGGCCTGTTCTATATTGTTACATGTTGCTTCCGCCCCCTCCCTTTCAATGTTCACAGTTGTGTGTCCTGGTTCTTGAACATCTAAATGAAAAGTGTTGACAACAACAACAGCAAAATAATTCGAATATGTGCCACGAGAAAAAACAAGGCGCACAGGGAGCATGCTTGACAGTGGCATAATACGTGCACAAACACAGCTCAGTGACCGCGAGTTTAGTCTTACGGACTGTCCCTTGGGGGCAAATGCCCTGGGGTCGTTAGCATCAGCACCCTTTGCCGATATCCCAAGTGCTGATGTGAACACGCAGCAATGTGCGTTTGGCGACGCACGCCTCCGACTAGCATGGGTGGCGACGTACGGCGCGAAAGAAGTTCAAAAGACATGCATACATATACGCTGGTCAATGCGGGTTGCTGAAGGCAGGAGAGCATAGCTTTAGGAACAGGAAACATAGTACAGTACAGTTCAATAATGGATTTTGCTGCACTGGCCTCAGCTGCCCATAATACCACAGCAATTCATGTATCCATTTATACGACAGCGATGTGTGCTTGTGCATTTTTCAATCTATAGACTATTTTTATTTTATTTTAGCCAGGTAAGTTGTCACTGAGCTACTTAGCTCTTTTTCAGACACGACCTGGCCACCAATGATATTTCAACGAAGTGGCTTATCATGTGGACATTTATAGAAGCCAAATACTCTTATACGCGTGCATTTAAATGTGGAGCGAAAACCCGGAGAACCCGGAGAAAAATCCACACGACCACGGGGAGAGAGACATGCAAACTCCAAATATACAGCAGGCGTCAGGGTCAAGATCTAACCAAACGACCTCCTGTATACCAGGCGAGGTAGTTAACATATCACCACCGTGGCACCCCCACTTCCGGATGAGGGCCCACCCCACAGCGTCTCACGCGTGGGATCGTTTGGCCATACTTCACCACGCTGGTCAGCGTGCATTGGTCAAAAATGTAAACCATGGGCTTGGAGAAATAAGTGCAGGACAACAAAGCGACATGGCCTCTGTTGACCACCATGAGCAGCACCACGGCCACCTACGACAACCTGGCATGCACGGTGATCTGCCATCCTGGACACTATCCACACATCAAACCTGCTCGCCTTTCGAGGTCTGGCGAGATCTGTGTGCATATGCTGGACGAGATTGGTGGCGCATTGCTGGAATCATTTGGTCACGACACACAACGGGGCGACGTAACAGCACAATGCGAAGCACCACTCACACGGACCTTCCAGACGATTTCGATTTAAAGCTTTCGTGACTGCAGGGATTCATCTTCTTGGTTATTTTGGTAAAGTCACGTAGAAGGGAAGTAATACAATTATAAAAATAAAACATAATGAAACAATTCTCACGACGTTTCGGCCACAACGCAAGCAGCCGTCCTCAGGTGCTGTCGCCTCGACAGACCTGGTTGCACCTGAGGACGGCTGCTTGCGTTGTGGCCGAAACGTCGTGAGAATTATTTTATTATGTTTTATTTTTATTATTTTATTACTTCCCTTCTACGTGACTTTACCGAAAGAACCAAGAAGATGACTTCCAGACGATGTTCTGCCGGTTGGACGCAAGTCTGGAAGGTCACCCGGGGTTTACTTGGCACACGCAGCAACACGACGTGGACGCATAGTTGGCAAATCACAGCCACGACGAGCAACGTTGCGGAGAGGACATTTTGTTGAGTGTGCGCGCGTGTGCACGCCACCGATGGGTGCAATCTGGACACGGGAGCGTCAGCCCTCGTCATTTCTAAACGATGACCTCTAAAACATAGTTACGTAATATAGAGCTGCTCGCCCCGAGCTGTAAATGCTCTGATGCGTTGCATTGTCTTTGTGCTGTTCGCCTTTTGGCGTTCTCTGGTCTGACACTGGTGAGACTGGGCCATTAAGAAGGCTGCCTCTGGTATAGGCCAATCAGTTTCAAAGTCGATGCTTAGATTATTATCAGAGCATGTTTCTTTGCGTGTTCACCACAAGTACGTGTGGTTAGTGCAGACTTGATTCCTTGCAAAAGGTTTCTATTTGTTGTTTGAGCATCTTTCCACCTGTTTTATTTCCAGAAAAGTGTCAAATATATTATTATTATTAATACCACAGTTACGTCATGCCAAATAATCAACAGCACCTTGTGTTAATCCACTGCTGGATTAAAGACTACTCTCCACGCGCGCTGTTTCAGCGCTGTGGGTTGTTTGTCCAAACTTCACCATGCTGGTGAGTGGGGGGTTGGTAGAGTAGGGAGGGGGTGCCCAGCACTGGTTTCAGAAAACACATTCCTGCGGAGGGAGCTGGTAGGAACGTTGGGTTGCTCGGTCAATGGCCAGGGTCAACGGCGGCGTGGTGTATTCCACAAATATGGCCGACTGTGAGGGCGGGCACAAGCCGGCGTGAGTAGGTTAAACGTTGAGTTTTATAAGGGCACCACGGGGTGACCAGGCCCTCCCCACCCAGCCCCACCCTCCCCTGCCCACCCAGCCCCTCCCCACCCTCCCCTCCCCACCCAGCCCCTCCCCACCCAGCCCCACCCTCCCCTGCCCACCCAGCCCCTCCCCTCCCCACCCTCCCCTCCCCACCCAGCCCCTCCCCACCCAGCCCCTCCCCTCTCCACCCAGCCCCACCCCTCCCATTTTTGGATGCACGACGGACGGACACAATAATCCCCTGTGGACTGGTGTAACCAGGAGGTTCCTACCAGTATTACTCGTCACTGACTCGGATATCACTCGTCACTGACGTGAGCCATCGCTGGCAATCGAACTTATTATGTTGGCCACGTTCATCGATAATTGCGCGAACCACCGCACCACCAACCACTGCACATCACAACTTTAATAAGCATTCTGCCAATAACTTTTTCCAATCGACCTACCACCACTGATGGGTACAATTAAAACTCACAGTTGAAGCTAAAATTAAACAATCAATATAAACTTAGAATATAATTAACGGTGGCCTGATATGTATATTTTTTATAAATTGCACCGTTAATGTTATAGAAATGAAGGCTGTAAACACGTTCCACCATTATCATGAGTAACCAACAACTGTTTTCAAGCAATAACATTTATCATGAGGTAATATTTTGAGCAATGACCCTTAATCACAAAACTGACAATACACTTTTGTAAACTGCACAACTCTGTTCTCGATATCTTGCATTGGTTTGTACGCGGAACTACTTTGAATTATTTTTTCCCAAAACACTATGGAATACGTCGCAATTACTAAAGCATCGCTCGACTCACTCGGCGTAAGATTTCACGATTTACACGAGCACATTTGACAAAAAATGCGTGCGCTACCGTGCAGCGGAGAAATGCGAACGGACACTCCAAGGTTACGTTCACACACAAAATAGATGCCATGTCACTAGAACGCAACACGCACACACACACAATGGCTCACGCTGTCCCAGAAAAGCAACTCATGCCTCATTTACCGGTCATTATTTAACATCGTAAACTAGATTCACTTTCTCCAAAACTTGATGCACACCCACCCCCCCCAAAGTTCAATTCCGGTAGTAAAAAAAAAATCTAAATTTTTCAACGTTACTTTATGAAACGACTCTCAGTGCAAAAAGTATGAGCCTGGTTTATTTTTTTTTTCCAAACGCTACACACATCGCGAGAAGCTCTCCGAGTCGGTAGCGGATTTCCTTACCGTGCAGTACGCAGCTACGCGGCGGAGCCTGGGAAAGGAGCCCTCGTCATTGTGCGCCCACCGCAGAGGATCTCCCAGGGAGACTGGCGGCAGAGATGGGAGAACACTGTGTGCATTGGCGCTAAAGAGCGACGGTCAGACCCCCCCCCCACATCCACACCGCCCCCCCCTAGGCTGTGACCATGTCCCAACACGACGTGGTGCCAAGGCCCCACCCACACTCCGGGTCATCCTCGTAGAAGCAGCAGCGGCAGCAGCGACGGCGGTAGCGTCTTTTGGCTGTAGCCATCGCACAGAAGAACGGACATCGCGTCGCACGCTTTCAGATTCAAGTTTCATTTATTGGGTACAGCCCTGTGAACCATGCGGCTCTTGAGTCGGCTGCAACCGCAACAAACACAATATGAACAGAGAACATCTTAAAGCGATGAGCTTCTGCGGCCGTCTGGAACGCTCTTCGTTTCAGATATTAGGAAGCCACTTAGAGCTATGCACTTTTAAATCATCTCGATTCAAAACTCAATTCTTGAGAACTGATTTTTATGTTTAGTTTGTTGTCCTTCCCCCGCATCTCCAATTATCACGGTTGGCTACGTACGGTGCGAAAGAAGTTCAACATATGTACGTGCATCAGGCACACGCGGCGGTGGTGCTGCTGGCCCATTTGGGGACCCAACCAGAAATTATTTTTGGGATTGCCCTCCTCCTCCCCTTTCAACTTATAAACTCCTCGTGAGAAGATATGTGGGGCGCCACGGTGGCGAGATGTTAACTACCTCGCCTGGTATACAGGAGGTCGTGGGTTCAATCTCGATTTTGACACCAGTAGTTTTCGAGTTTGTATGCTCTCCCCGTGATCGCCTGGATTTTTCTCCGGGTCCTCCGGTCCCTCCCCCCCCCCCCCCCATGTAGAATCAACTTGCGTTTAAAATATTTAGCTATATACATTTCCACACGATAAGCCACTTCGTTGAGCTATCATTTGTGGCCAGGTCGCTTCTGAAAAAGAGCTATATAGCTCAGTGGGCCTTACTTGGTGAAATAAAAAAATTGTTTGTTTTCTTATGGATCATCATGCATGCAGTCCCTCCCCAAGAACGGTGACCTCTTTCTAGCAGCTGAAGTTAGTAATCCTTCGGCCTTATTATTCGGTTGTTATGTTTGGTTGCTGTGAGCTCGCTTGTGACTTAGCAAGACCAGAGTTTGAACGACACACGCCCTCCCACAGAGATCATCGCACGCGAAGTTGGCTGAGGGTAACTCCCGAGATTTCACTATCACCGGCCGACACTGTAACCACCACTTCTGGCCCTCGTGAAACGAGAGAGCTGTAGACAAAGAGACGTAGATGGTGCCGGATGAGAGAAGCGAGGTGCAGACAAGAGAGATGAATTGAGATGTGAGATCATTTCTGTACGTTTCAATAAATTAGCCTCGTACGTTGGTTAGAATTGAAATTCGTGCTTATATTAAATTTACCCATCATTTCTTGACATTAATTGAGGTCACCCCATGAACAATTTTGGGCCCTAAACGTTCCCTTCGGTTGCTTATGGCTATAGATAGCGCCAGCGCTGCACACGACGGCGTGGGCAACTCAGGTTTCCAGATTATTCACCTTGGACTTGTTTTCGTAGAGACATTGTATTCCAATGCAATGCTAAATGAGTTTCAAAACGCGTCTATACGTAACAGCATCTCAAAACGCCGTAAGGTGAGATGAAAAGAGGAGCGGTTAGGGAGCATGAGGGAGGAGGAATCCAGTGGAGTGACTGGTAAACAATATATGTATAATAGTTGGGAATACTGGCAATCAGACGTGGAGGATAAGAGTTAGGTCTTGCAGCAACGATTTGAACAAGAGGACGGAGTCAGGAATGCAGACAACAATGCAAATGAGTTACACACACCAGGAACAGCACGGAGTTTTGTGAAAGGAGAGGGTTAGGCAGGGGTGACGAGCCTATTGAGAGTGTTTTAATGAGGACACAAGGGGTCCAGGGTGGAATTGAAAGCCGTATGGGTGACAGTAAGATTGGAGCGATGAGGTGACGTGTGGATAACAATTTTTCACGTGGCATTGTGGATCACAATTCCCTCATGTGTGGCATATTCTTGGTTCTTTCGGTAAAGTCACGTAGAAGGGAAATAATAAAATAATAAAGAGATAAAACAATAAAAAATTATCACGACGTTTCGACTGCAACACAAGCAATCATCATCAGGTGTGAAATCCACAGCAAGAAAATGTATTTACCTTCTATGTGACTTTACCGAAAGAACCAAGATTATGAATCCCTGCAGTCACGAAAGCTTGAAATAAAAATGTGTGGCATAGTTTTTTTTTAAGCATTCATGTGGAAATCGAATAAGAGTACGTATCTATTCTTTTCAGAGAGATGCAGTAATTGACGTGCATAAAAATTGCGGAAGCTATCGTGAAGGTAGAATAGCTTTATCGAGCAGTGGTCAAACTCCTGCAGTTTGCAGGTCAAGAACCTGGTAGAGAAAGCGAGGCCCTGCTCCATAACTTGCAGCTCAGGGCCATCCAGTGAGAGAGAAAATGGCCTCAGTCGTTATAAAAAAGAGGGCCCCACAATGGGCCTGGGTCTGTTTTTGTTGTATCTTCTTCCATGTAGCATTCTACCCCGGGCCTCCAGGAATATCTGGAGAGTCCTGTTCACAGCCATCGAACAAATAACGGTCACCGTATCACGCACTTTCAGATGCGCTTTGGCGCCCGTCTGGGACGCTCTTCCTTCCGATATTCGGAAGGCACTGCAGCCGTGCACTTTTAAATCATCTAGATTGACAACTAAGTACTTCCCCCGCACCTACGATTAGTACGGTTACTTTCCAACACACCGGTGGGCTGGAGTAGTAACCAATTTGCGCGTTGTTCACGTGACAAACCTTACTGGTTGTGTCGGGTGGTGGAGGGTTACGACACATTTATACTTACGCGATCTTACCCAAAAACCTTAATTACGAATATTTGTACAAACATAAACCGCTGCTGAATCAAAGTTCTACATTCCATGCAGCGCAGATTTGGCTCAGGCAGATTTTTTTGGTTTAAATCTGATCCTAGTACAATTACAGAAACATTACACGTTAAACAGACGTAGGGTGGCTATAGTACTAATCTGTAAACAGATAAGCACGAATAAATGTATTCATTGAAGGGAGTACGTGTGCCAAAATGAAGAGGAAAGCCGAAGATCTGACAGGACAGATGGAGCTTGAACCAAGAAGTCTGCTCCGTGGCTAGAAATCAAGAAGACGTGAACACGTGTTACATTTTATATTCTCATTTTCTCATACCACTCACTCAGTGTTCTTCACTAATTCTCAGAGGGCCGCCACATTTGTTGTGTATCGTCGGGGGGGGGGGGGGCAGCACTAAAGGCCACCAGGGGCCGCCAGTGCACCCCCTGGTCGCCTTGCGATGAAGAACTCTGCACGAACTCATCGCATTCATATCGCAAATGTTGCATTCACTTTTTCCACTAGGTGGCATTACTACACTGGTATTAAAAATAACGTATCACCACCTGATACAATATTTTTAATCCATGGAACTTTGATGAATACTCCATCGAAAGGTAATAAGATTTGATGAATACATTAGGCAATTGCACAAATGGAGTGTTTGCACTGTTACTGTATAGTACACATTGAAGATTAATTTATCGCTAAAATGCACGATGAATTATGCCTTCGTGGAATTGTCATTTAATATCAGTCTTTTGCATTCGAGTACATGATTGATATTTGACATTGAACATGCTTAAAATTGTAAGAGTGATCAATGTGATGCATGTATATTTCTTTTTATTTTATGTAAATAATTGTTCTACTCGTAATAAATGTTCAATTTAATGCATTACCCGGTTTCTGAATTATAGAACTATCTTGGTGATTTAATCCAGCAGTTCTTAGGCTGAACACAAATACAATTCTCTTTATGTGAAACAATATTGACAAATATGCCTATCTCTTCCCCAACATCCCTATGATCTACTGTATGTATCAATGTCTTGAGATGCACTTAGATGCTATATAATTCCACGTTATTATGCACATATGTATGTTGAACTTCTTTCGCACCGTACGTAACCAACCGTGCTAATCGGAGGTGCGGGATGAGAGAGGCTATCGGGAGCGGGAGGACGTAGGGAGGGAGCTTTGTCTCTGCGTGAGCGTGCGCGAAGCACCGATGATGATCAAGTGTGTGGCGACAATCTTCAAAAGCTTGAATGATCTTGCACAGCGCATAGCAGAAGCATTTCAACCTCTCACAGTCGAGATATTGCTGCACGCCTGGGACTCCCTCGAATCTCGATATGATTATTATTTGGTTATTTCGGTTAAGTCACGTCTAAAGATAAAATAATAAATTTAAAAATAGCATATTTCATTATACCTGATGATGATTGCTTGTGTTGCAATCGAAACGTCGTAATATGCTATTATTTAATTTATTATTTTATCTTTAGACGTGACTTAACCGAAAGAACCAAATAATAATTCCTGCAGTCACGAAAGTTCTAAAATCTCGATATGATGCAGTAATTCCCGTGGCCCGTTGAAAAACTAGTCAATGAGAAATATAAAATTCCATGTTTTTGTAATGCTCACGAAGCCCATGGTGCAAACAAGTTCTATCTCAAACTCTTATTGTCCATTGTACCTCGGCTGCCTCTCATGTGATGTGCGATGAAGAAGGGCCATCACCCGAAACGTCACCTGCTATATATTTGTCCTGTTAAGGCCACGGTGTTATTGGTGAATGGGTCGAGTTTTTCAGCACAATGTGTGTCGCCAGCACCATGGTGGATTCTGCAGAAGTTTAGAGGGATGAAACTCATCCAGTAAAATCTTCATATTACCCAATGTGTGTGTGTAGTTGTATTGATGTGGTTCAACTGTAAATCGTGGAATGCCCGATTTGTTGAGAAACAGACGTCGCAGACAGTCTGTGGCTGGTCTTTGGAATTAAGTCATGGTGAAGTAGATGATGGACATGACCTAGCAGAGGCAAGTTCGCCTTTTGTTGCAGCAGAGGTTCGTGGTTCCAATCCAGCGGCCGCCCTG